TTCTGGGTAATCCAGAATGGCCGCCACTTTGGTTCTAAGGGGTCGAATGCCTTGAGCATCGATAGTGTGTCCTAGGAAGTCTAACGAGTCGGTTCCGAATTGGCATTTCTGAACGTTTACAGTTATGCCATGTTTTTGTAGTCGTTCGAAAACAAGATCCAGATGCCTGAGATGTGTTTCTCTGTCCGGACTTGCGATTAGACAGTCGTCAACATACGCATGTAGGAAGCTGAGACCTCGAAAAACGTCGTCTATGAATCTTTGGAATGTTTGAGCAGCATTCCTTAGACCGAAAGGCATTCGCAAAAATTCATAGAGTCCGAAAGGAGTTATGATAGCTGTTTTCGGAATGTCGTCAGTAGCCATAGGTATTTGGTTATACGCTTTAACCAAGTCGATTTTCGAAAAGACAGTTGTACCTTTCAAAGTAGCTGTCAAATCGTGAATGTGAGGCAACGGGTAACGATCGGGAATGGTTTTCGCGTTCAATCGCCGATAGTCACCAGTTGGACGCCGATCGTTGCTGTCCTTTTTAGGGACCATGTGCAACGGAGATGCATATGGGCTACTTCACGGTCGTATGATCCCTAAGTCCATCATGTGATCGAATTCGTTTTTCGCTAACCTTAGCTTTTCAGGAGCTAGTCGTCGTGCTTTAGAGAATACAGGTGGTCCTGTAGTCGTGATGTGATGTGTAACATTGCTGGTTACACACGGTAGTTTCGGTTGAGTTTGTTGTATCCCAGGGTACTTATCGAGTAGTGGTTGATAGAGTGGGTCTATCATATGTTTAACGGTGACTGGGGATACTCTACAACCAGTAAAGGAAGTTACGCAAACGGACAAATTAGTGTTTCCGTCTACTAGCCTCCGTTTGCGAGTGTCGATGATCAGATTGTGGTGTTGTAGAAGGTCCATACCAATGATTGGCATAGAAACATCTGCAACAACGAAAATCCAGTGTATGGGTTTGCGTAAACCCACGTTAAGGTAAACGTACCTTTTGCCATACGTAGCGATCGGTTTTCCGTTTGCCGCCTGTAAGTTTTGGGTCGATTCGTGTAGTCGATCGTTAGGATTTGCTGGGAGAACGCTAACTTCTGCGCCAGTGTCGACGAGGTAGCGAACTCTCGTTGTCACATCCGTGACGTATAACAAACGGCTATGCTCGTCGGCTACGGTTGCCGTTAACGCGTGCCGGCTTGGAAGTTTCCCGAATTGCTTTTCGAATCAGTCGTTTTCGTGTTGGGAAAATTGCAGGGTTTTCTGCAATTTCTGGAAAACTTTCCATACTGGTTATGATACCAGCACCAGTCGGGGTTATCTGTCTCTCGTGGTCTAGAGACAGATCGCTTACGAGAAATGCTTCTACGTGGTGTGCGCGATCTCTTACGGTCGGTACGAAGACTAAGATAACGCGTGAGTGTGTGACATAAATCGGTTGTATCATTCTGAGTCGTTTGAGGTTTTTCTTTGACTGAAAATACCTCGGTAGTAGGAGGTTTCGTAATTTCTAAAATGCGGTCGGCAGATGCAGCTAGCTCTTCTAAGGCGTTGTTCTGGAACGAGACCAGAACTGCTTGCATTTGTTGGGGAAGTTTTGACAAGAAGAGTTGTTTGAATAGGCCTTCGTCGAAAGTTCTTGGGCCTATAACCTCTCTCATCCGTTGCAACATGTCCGTCGCAGAACCGTGTTGCAGGTCGATGTTATTGAAGAGTTGATCTAACCTTTGTCGATCGGTTAGGTCTCCTCGTTTAAGAATCGAGCGTTTTAAGATTTCGTAAGGATCGGAAACATCACTAGTAAACATACTAGGTGTTACGTACCTGTTGAATTCGCGCGGTAGTGCCTTGACTACTGCGAGGAATTGTGCACGTGTGTCGATCACTCCGTGCTCGTAGAAGTCGGCTTCTGCGTAGCAAAACCAGGCTTCGATGTTGTCGGGCCAGAAAGGCATGAGTTGAAACGAAGGCGGGGACAAAGTCTTAAGCTTGAGTACTTTAGGTGTCTGTTCAGTCATGATGAAATATGAAGTACGATAATGAACGAGGGGAAAAAATATATATATCCAAGAAAAATTACGAAAAAAAATCACAATGTTTAAAAAAATAAAAAAATAAGGCAATGATATATAAAAATCCCAAAAAGGAACAGAATCACAGTTGCAATTAGGTGTACCAGATCACGTCGGGCTCACCAATGATGATGTCACAGGTACTCAGTGTTTGACGACGCTTCTACCAGTAACACCTTCCAATGTATTTCGTTCCCGCCCAGAGAAATCAAAAGACAGAGTCGAGGAGATCGGAAGAGTATATTTGGCGATGACCAATATATCGGAATTCTCTGATCTAATCTGGCTAGCGATTGTGGTTGATGTTGAGCACGGCGTTACCACACGTGATCTGGTGCGGATGCAAGACCGAGCGCCTTCAGCTAGATGAGTCCACTAAAACATATGGTCAGCATCCAATGTCGAAAACATAGGGCTATTTATTTTGGGGATTTATTTACCGCTACAGGGTGAAAATATTAGGTACCGGTTGATATCATACAATAAAAAAAACAGATTTGCGAGTGGTGAAGTATGATCTATAAAAAAGTGAGCTTAATAACAGTTAATTACCTTTTTACTCCCTGACCCATGACCCTTCGGCTTCCTTTTATGGCCGAAACAGCAAACATACACTACACACTGATAGCTGATTTCCGGCTTTTCAATGTTAGGCTTGCTTTAACGCACTACGTAATGAGTACAACCCCTCCATTACTGCTATATGACATATTTTTGATAACAAACCCTCTTCAATAGATTGGTAGTATCTGTGACTTCGTCTATGGTTATCGGAAGTCTGAGTTCTTTCGAAAACAATACTGGTATCCCCTACTGCTGGGCAATCAGTATTAGTTTGACTCGTTAGCGGGATAGTGTTGTCCATAATACTGAAGAAAATTAAAAACCGGAGATTGTTTCCTTTCATTTTGCCGATAACATCATAAAGGACGGTTAGGAACGAATATGCGAACAGTTAGAGTCACAGGCAGCAACAACAATTATTCTAGCTAGAGAAACTAATTCCGGCTTTGGATATCTAAAAAACAAGTCAAAACAAAACCGATTACCATTTTAAAACATAAGACCAACCAGCGTGGCTGAAGAAATACATTGGCTTGAGTAGAAGCAGCAAAAACCATAAAAACAATGCTGATTCGAAGTAAACTTCACACCAACATGTAGAACATTACACTAACTGCGGCATTTTAGCACACTGAGACATTAAATTACATAGCTACACAAAAGAATTAGCTGAAAGAAGCACAAAACCAAGAAAGTCGACCACCGTTGCTTACAAAGATGGCGGATGTAACAATTCCCGCCTCATTCTGATTGGTTTCTAAGCTGAAGGGCACATTTACGAAATTGAGTTGCGTTTAATTGCAGCCTCAAACACTATCGTCAGTCATCCGCTCCACTCCCATGACTCTGTTACAAGAATAGCCAGGTAGAATCTGATATCATGGCCGAAAGCCGTGAACACGACTTTTAAAAAGGTTAAACTCGTCCCTAGTTTAGTTATTGTGAATTTAGAGGAATTGGGAGACAAAACCCCCTACTGAAGGACATGCATACGGTCTAGAGTTATTGGACTCTGTCATCAGAAATGCACTTCCTGAAAACGTTTCACGGGTACATACCACGAAAGTAATGCGACTCAGAAAATGGGTTGGAGGCGAGACCCGAACAAGAAGGGTTTTGACGTTAGTACTCGGGAATTTTGATGAAAGAGACGTATTATTGAATAATGCATACGAAACTCGTAATTCAACTATTCGTATCCGACCAGATTGGCCGCTTGAGGATCGAATGAAATAGAAGAATGTCCTCACGGAGTTAGGAACTCGAAAGTTAAATGGCTAAGCGAACCTTGCGATTAAGGGCTTACGGGTGGTATGGGTAGAATGAATGATTCCCGAAATACCTTAAATGTGAGTTACACGGACGTTCATAGTCTTCAAAATAAAACGTCTGAGCTAATTTTGATGGTGGAATTATTTAGTCCTGACATAATTGTTGTCAAAAAATGGCTCACCGTAGATATAGACTGTTCTCCCATCAATCCAGGTTACATCTACATTAGAAGTGATATAGTTATAAATCTCAAGGGAGCGGGCATAATGTTATGTGTTAGTGATCACTTTCGTATATAACCGATCATATTGGAGGCGCATGGTAGTGGTACGTGTGAGGTAGTATGTTGCACAATTAGGTCGACACATGAGTTAGTGACAATAGAAAGAATATGCCGTGGTCCATGTTGTATTACCGACGAATTATCTTACGACGCATCTGTTCTTGGAGTAAGTCGAAACGTCTCATCACTGGAGACTTCAACGCTCCGCATATCAACTGGATAAAACTTACAGCTCCAAGTGAGGGTTTTGGTGGTATCGGCCCCATTAGTGAACATTTTCAAGGAGAAGCTGGACCTTCACTAGAAGGCAAACTGTTAGGATTAATACAGGTCGTCCTTATTACTGGAGACTGAGGACCTTTTGTGCCTCAGATAGCTGTGGACGAAAGAGAAACATTTCACTTTTAACGGACTTAAGTACTGAGTAGCGATGGAACACTGAAGCCTACAGGTGAGGGCCTTGATGCATGTAATGAAAAAGGAAAATTCTTAAATAATAATAAGACTCCGATGAATACTTGAAGATATATCGTTTCCATAGAAGGACTCGAGGAGAGCAGACTGAACTAATTCGGCTGGAAGGAAATTCTAGAGTTTGATTACTTGTAAGTAGTAAAAGGTTTTCCAAATTAGAGACTGGTTCGTGAAACAGCTTGATGACGATCACAAAGCTTTCAAAACAGTTATCAAACTGTAGGCTCTCACAAATGAAGAAAATTATTAAATGTAGAAAATAATCCTTTGGAAATTAAAAGTAGTCGTGAAAATTGAAATAATAGATCTTGTTTACCAAATAAATGAAGTACCGTGACAAAAATATTTGGTCGAATACCTTTGATCTACCAGCAGAACCAGGTGTACGAGGAGATCCAGAAACTGGTCTACTTCCAACATTGGAAGATGTATTCATCAAGGCAGTAGTTGTTCCAAGCTGATCCATGACAGAATCCGAATTACCAGATATTGTATTATTTGAAATATTTGCTTGAGCATTATCTCTTTGCATACTGACCGAGAGGCGAGTAAGAAATGACTATATATGAAAAAACACTAGATAATTATAGATGCTATGTAAAAATTATGGCTAAAAACATTCAGTGCCAAAAGTGAAAAGTGTACGGTAGTTTTATTAAATCTATCCAAACTCAAAATAAAGACATTTAAAACTAAATATTTTGACTACGTACACGATTTGACTGTTGGAACGACTGATTAATGTTGCAGTCAATTGATAGCAACTGAGGAAACCAAATATAGTAACTCGTCATATTAACAGCCTCGAACCCTAATGATAATCAAAAAACTTGAACAGCTGGTCAGGTTTGCATTGTCACACTATGTAACTTGCTGAAATGAAACAGTTACTTACTTACGCCTGTATGATTTAGAAGGTTACGTAGACCAACTATGGGACCATATGTACAAACTTAAACCAATAACTACTGGTGAACAATCGCAAGCGACATATGTACTTTAGGATCTAAATAATTGTAAGCACGTCTGGATATAGCGTAACAAAATAAATGTAGCACATAGCCCTCCATCCGATGGACCATTCAAAGTTATCTCAAGGGAACCTAAATATCAATAAGTTACTTAAATTTATCTCAATATTCTTCGCAATGCCATAAAACCTGCTTAAATATGGCAGATATTATGCTAACGTTACTGAAACATGTGTTTCATTGCATTTCTGAAATAACTTAAAGTGGCCTATTCACAAAACTTATGTACCCATTAGCTGTTTGTGAATAATAATAATAATTTCTTAGACTGAAACTTGCTCACTTATGCCTCTTATCCCTCGTGGAAGAGCATTGGCTGATCATTAGCATTCTCCATCCAACTCTGTGCTGAGCAATCCTTTCCAGTTTTTATTCATCCTTTTCATGTTTGCTTCCAATTCTCGACGTAGTGTGTTCTTTGGACTTCCTCCTTTCCGTTTTTTCCAAGATTCCAAATTACGGCTTGCTTCGTGAAACAGTTTGATGATTTCCATAATGTATGTCATATCCACTTCTAACGTCTTTTCATAATTTCCTCTTCAGCTGAAGCTGGTTTGTTCTCTCCCACAGTAGGCTGCTGCTGATGCTTTCCGGTCAACAAACATTAAGTATCTTACATAGACAATTGTTTATAAATACCTGCACCGTTTTGATGATGGTTGTAGTAGTTTTCCAAGTTTCAGCTCCGTACAGTAGGACAGTCTTGACGTTCGTATTGTAGATTCTGACTTTGATATTGGTTGACAGTTGTTTAGAGTTCCACATGTTCCTCAATTGTTGAAATGCTGGCTTTGCTTTGCCAACCCGTGCCTCCACGCCTGCATCGGATCCTCCTTGTTCATTGATGATGCTGTCCAGGTACGTGAAAGTTTCCACCTCTCCCAGAGTTTCTCCATCAAGTGTGATTGGGTTGATGCTTTCCGTGTTGTGCTTCAGGATCTTGCTTTTTCCCTTGTGTATACTGAGGCCTACTGATGCAGGGGCTGCTGCTACACTCGTTGCCTTCATCCGCATTTGTTCGTGTGTGGGATAGGAGGGCCAGATCATCTGCGAAGTCCAAATCGTCTAATTGATTCCGAGCTGTCCATTGTATTCCGTGTTTCCTCTCAGCTAACGAGGTCTTCATAATCCAGTTAACCACCAGGAGAAAGAGGGAGGAGAATCTGTAAGCAAACTGATACGGATCAATGTACTCTTTTATTGCAGGCTGAAGTGGAAGTATTAAAAATTTTAATTGTTTTGAGTAAGGGTGAATTTATTGCAATAGCTCTAAATTTCACATTTTTATCACTAGATACTTTCTTGAGTATAGGAATTTTCTTTATCTTTCTCTACATTTTCAGTATGAGATTAGTTGGGAAAGATATAGTTGAGACTTCTAATCTCTAGGTTTCTCAGATTATTTAGCTTACGAACTTCATGAGAGTTTTTCTCCTTCTACATTCTTTCTTTCACCCTCCATAGTTGTTTTATCTGTGAAGATTTAAGTCGATCAAAGCTTACAAAAATGGTTTCAGTGGGACAACAAATATCAACATAGAATTTAAGTAACAAGTGATAACATCAGTAGTGACTTCAAGTGAGTCATCTGTAAATAGTTCCTAGTTCGTCGTATGAAACATGATTTTGAGATTTCGGATATATTTTGTGAGTAATTCCTATATTTGGTTTTCGTGGTATGATGTAAGAGTTTACTCTTTCCATGCTTTCCATATACTTTAGGTAGGACACGAATAATACAGTGATCCGAGCTAGAAAATGGAGCACGTTTACGAGTCATATCATTAATAAAAACAAAGTCTTAATGAGCATCCAAATGAGTAGGGAAATCTACTACATTTTGGTGATCTAGTGACGTAAGGAAGCTACAGTCACATTAATTGAAGTCACCACATACAACTGATAGTGAATCACTGAAGGCAGTAACAGCGAACTCAGTGAATTAATCAGCGAAAACAGATAGCTCAGATGATGTGCAATCTGGAGTCACTTAGATATTGGTAACATAAACATTCTTGTATTTATTCAGATGTTTCGGACGAAATCTTTGAGTTTGACAGTCGGTAGTCATTTAGAAACTTGAAACACGCAAAAGTAGATCAGCACCAGTTCACGTTCACAAACATAGCTACACCGCCGCCACACTCTTTTTATTGTTTGATCGATCCTGACGATAAATTTTGAAATCATGTAGTGATACTAGACAGTCGTCCTGTAAATCATTTAACCAAGATTCTTGAATTGTGATGGCACCAGAATTACGATGCAGATTTTGACTTAGTAGGGATTGAAGGTAGTCCACCTTATTGATTAGTGATCGGCAGTTAGATTTTAGCAGCTCGGGAATCGACATACGATTTATGTTCATTCTGTTCAAAGCATATTGCCAACCGCCGCTATAAGCAGGCTAGACACTCACAGGGACGAATTCCCACAGAATTTTCCTTTATTTCCCCTATTTCTGATCATTTCACATGCTCAAACTCTTATGTGAATGGATGAGTGGAAGAATGTTTATAGATATGGAAGGTAGCTAAGCAAAACGTATTCGCTTTCGTCTATGACTTTTTGAATCATTTGATTTAGTCGCGGAAAGTGGTTTATTTACTTTCAAGGTTACGATGCCTCACTCGACTCTTACGGATTGTGACAGATACGAAGAAGGTGATTTATGTACGGAAAAAAAGCATCTTTGGTTTGTTTGACTTCCTAAAGTCATAATAGTGTGCAGGTCTAGTCTACTCGAAGAGGTTACACACAAGGCTGCAGTGACATTGTCTCCCTCCAAAACTCTTGTTGTTTTGGGTGATGACGAGTGTGGGAAAACTACTCTAATAGCTCGACTTCAATGTACAGAAGATCCAAAAAAAGGTTTTGGACTTGAGTACACTCTTTTGGATATCAAGGATGAAGACAGAGATGGTATGGATCGGTTTAATTCGGATGTTTTTGCATCGCCTAGATCAAACGAAGCTGAATGTGTGGATTTTGGATGGCAACACAATTCATAGTCATCTTTTAAAGTTCGCAATCAGTGAAGAATCGTTCGGAGACTGCTTCATCATGATATGTGTGAGCATGATGGAACCATGGAATATTATTAGCAGCTTAAATAAGTGGGTTGGTATCTTAAGAGAACATATTGGTAATCTCAAAGTTTCAAATGAGAAGCTTCAAGAATACAAGAAAAATAGTTAGTTTTCCCTATTCTCTAGAAGTAATCATTCTTAGAAAACAGATTGGCAAGCGTTTTTCTGTCAGCAGTTTTGTATGGTACCCCGATTATTTTGTTTCGAGCAAAATTATAGTAGTCCAAAAAAGCCTTTTCAATAACTGCTGCTTACCCTAAACAGTTTCTACGATAGGTATAAAGTGGATGATTAGTGAGCACTAAAAAATTAATTTAGTTATGTGGTCCTTAGTAAATAAAAAAGCCTTAATGACTTCTTAAGTTTTACGTTAAAAACTACAAGATGTAGGGTTCGAAGGGTTTGTCAGTGTATTAAAGTTCTTCAGGTTCTTTCATTATTATTCTGGTAACTTTTTGTCTGCCAATTGTATTTGAGTACGTATTCCATCTACTTTAAAGGTTCTGCCGAAAAACGTAGGTCCAGTCCATAAAGCCTTTACTTTGACAGTAACTTAGTAGGAGTGTTCAAATGTATTCCTACACTGTGCATACCTCGGATCCTGATCGTTACGAGTTTTCGTTACTCAAATATCGATGTATTGAAACTCGCTTTACATACATTTCTCTTTTAAAGATTACTGTGCTTGTTTATTTACGGAATATTTGAGAATCTATGGTTGTTTACTTGTTCATACAAAAAAATATTTAAGTCTTATACTTCATAGAAGTACTAACTTTGCTGTCGTTAAAAGCTTTGCTTGAGTGTTAGGGAACTAAATGACTTTCAGGAGATTCACCAATTAGTTTTTTAAAAAAAAATAGAGAATGTTCTGTTACTCCTGTATGCATAAGGTAATTATCCACTAATTTCCAATTCAGAACATCATTAAATGCTTGAGGTCAATTAAAACCGCTCAACATGCTCAGTGTTTGTTAACGTGCCACTATTATTGCTAATTCATCTTATAGGGAGACAAAAAGCTCAGTAAAACAAGTACATATTATAATAAAAGGTAGATTACAACTCCAACCATAGATACGCTGTATGAGTAACTGGGGAATAATTTTATACATATATAATAGCACCTGATCTGTGTGTTTATAAAACAGTACTGTTTATGTGCAGTAAAATAAGTAATTTCTCTCCCCTTCGACACTTTTTTATATAGCTAGACATCTGGCTCATTCCTAGGTTCTGCATATATAAGCTTTATATTCATTCTACTCTTATTATTCATATTTTTCGTAACTGTTTAGTTACTTCAGATTTCATTTTATTTAGTAAAAACTAAAAAACTTCATTATCAACTTTATTTCTTCCTCACATAGTTTTGCGCCAATTCTGTAGTTATCTAGAACCTGATGTACTATCTAACACTGCTCATGTCGCGCCCATGTGTATCAGTCCATCTGGCAATCATCAACCTAATGGACTTGTTTCACCGAAAAAGTTATCGGGAATACACCCTGCAACTGCTGCTCTTCTCTCAAGCACATTAAACTCACTATCCGAAACTGCGTCTCAGCCACCGTCTGTTATAAATGTCGAACAAGCAAACATTTCTATGGAGACAAACACTGATGAAAATGCTCTAATCAACAATTTGGGGATTCCAATAGTTGTAGTGATGACAAAGGTACGTAAAAAACTATACTGAAGTAAACTGACAGACAGCCAACAGAGCAATTATCTTGAGTTTATCAATCTTTAATCTGTGTCCCGTAGGATAGCTTACTTCATGTAGCATATACTACCAACAATGTATTTACTTCATATTACTCATCTTAATCATTTAAATTCCACAAGATTAAGTGGTCAATAAGTCTACTGTAATGTCATTTAAAAATGATCCGTAATTTACTTCTTCGTAAATTTCACCAATTATTTTATTCGCTTTGCATGCAAAAACTAATTTTCCAGTTATTTAGGTGATTGTTTGATACATTATATTTGTTACTGTCCACTAAGTTTATTAAACTTTTTGTTCATTTTTAAGGCTGATTCTATGGGGGCTCTGGAAAAAGAAAATCAGTTCACAGAAGAACACTTTGACTTCATTCAAATGCATGTTCGACGTTTTTGTTTGTCCTGTAAGTACTGTAGTTATTTTTGTTGATCCTATAGACCTAGTTAAATTAGTGCTTCTTGATTGTTCGCTTTTCGTGTAGATATTTTAATGTCATTATTTATTAAACTATATTATTTTAATGACCTCAATGATGACTATCAATGTTCATTCTTTGATGGAATTTATTAGGGAGTTAACGCTGAAAAACTGTCGCATGTATGCACTCTAATAATGTATTGTTCTATTAACCTTTTCACTGTATACTACCGGGAACTGTCGTTTATCGTACCAAAAAATTGTTGCTACCATCAAACGTGTTCATTTTCTCATTCTACCGGTCTAGTAAGGTTAATTTTCATTACTCACTAGTTCATTCATGGGATTATTGTCGTCCAGCTGAATTGTCTTTTACGGTAGATCAGTGAGGACCAAGGTGTTCTCAACCAATAAACAGCACCTATAACCTTGATGCTCGACTGTTGCTGCTCTCTTCACGTGGTGGTCGGGCTTGCCTACCGTGATAAATTAATCGGACTATACTGGCTGAAACATTCGTTTCTCAAAGTCCGAGGGCGAAGTCGTACGGCTGACTATACAGGGGTGTGACGGCCGTAAGTTGTTTCCCTCAACCAACATAACAGCGATGCTGCCTTCTCACAAAGAAGGGATGGGGTTAGAGAAGGTCAACCCTAAAAACACACACCTCACCTTATCCCACGAATTTCCGTCTCCGGCGATAATGTCTCAACACGTACGGAGTTAACACAAAAATTACCCAGGAAAATGTCTTATGTGACCGACCTCAAGCAATTGTCCCTTGGGCACTGTGGTCACGCTCTCAGGTCACTAAGACCACCTCTAACCCAACTTCTCCTTCAGGTATTTCTAGAAGAACCCTTCCACGGTGTGGACAACTGGAAATTGACGACCACTCACATACCTCTAACAGCACTCAAGACCACTATATTCGTAATCGATTTCCCTCTTTAATTCCGATTATTCCTCCTACATCAACTATCAACTCTATACTTCCTGCTCAAGTGTCACTATGACCAACGATTCTAGTACACAGAATACTGTCCTAGGTCTACTGAAACCTCGCTCCAAACTATACATTGGGCCCTTCAATGTACGGACTCTATATGAAATCGGTCAGCAGACCTCTTTGAATTATACTAAAATCTCATGCAATCGGTGTATGCTGTGTCTCCGTAACACATGGAGGATCCTAGTGTGGTCATTCATTTGACCTCACCTAACTAAAACGGGAAGCCGAAGAGGTACACCCTCCGTTTATCTGGCGACCCAATGGCAAGTTCTCGTGGACTTGAGGGTGTAGGCATAGCATTTATTATGAGGGCAGAACAAGCACTTTTAAAGTGGACTCCTGTTGAAAGTTGCCTATGTATTTTTCAGCTAAACGGCTCCGTAAGAACTCGGAAGGTTAGGGACACCCGTCGTTGCCTTTTCGTCGTTGTTGCCTACGTTCCCACTGACTGCAGCTCGGATGAGGTGAAGGATGGGTTTTACAGAAAGCCTTCTGATATTCAAAAAGCTAAACACTCAGACGGTACTCGTAGCAGGTGACTTTAATGCTCAAGTAGGTAGCTTAAACCAAACAAAGACATTTAGGTGGGTATACTAGTGTTTATTTATTGGTACAAAGAGGCGCCGGATACATATGCGCCACATAAGTCACTTGGTTTTTGTGTGGGCTGTGATACTGTCCGGGTTCTCAAACCAAAGCTGGTGGTTTTCTTAGAGGGCCACACCCGGAGCCTTCGACCCAAAGGTCTGATCCACAAGGCAACGTCAGGACATGCAATCCCATGATAACCGGTGATTAACGACTGGTTTATACACCATTTGTTTTCTTAGGATTCTGGAGCCCATGTACACTATTGGTTTGGAATCAAGGTCTTCCAACTCCTGAGATTTTTAAGGATGGTGGTCCAGTATTAGCAGTGAGATTAACTGAGGTCTTAGGTAGAATTTGGGAACTAGACGTAATCCCATCTGACTGATCTCAATCACTGATTGTGCCAGTCTATAAGAAAGGAAAAAAGTCCTCTTGTGACAATCACAGAGGAATCAGTTTGACTAATATAATGTCTAAAATATTAGCTTCAATAATACTTCGACGCCTAACCAAAGCTCGTGAAGAGCAGACTAGAGAAAACCAGGCTGGTTTTCGACCTGGTTATGGTTGTATAGATCAGATATTCACACTACGTCAGGTTCTAGAACACAGACACACGTTCAGACGCCCCACAATGGTAGTATTTCTCGACCTTAAGGGGGCATTCGACTCTGTCGATCGTAAGGTTCTATGGCAGTACCAAAGAGGTACATTAACCTTATACAGGCTCTCTACTCGAACACAACTGGTCGAGTGAGGGCTTATGGCGAACTGTCATCAGAATTGATTACCTCAAGTGGTGTTCGTCAGGGCTGTCCACTCTCTCCATTCTTGTTTAACTTTGCTATTGACATGCTTTTAGAGATAACACTTTCCTCATCTAAATTTACAGGGGTTGAACTTCTACCGGGAGACTCACTTGTTGACTTAGAATATGCTGATGACATAGTTTTATTTGGTGAAGACGCTGACAAAATGCAGAGTCTTCTGACCACTCTAAGCAACAATGCAAGCATGTTCGGGATGCGATTCTCTCCCTCGAAATGCAAAATGTTGCTTCAGGATTGGGTCGCCTTGACATCCGAACTAATGATAGGGAGTGAAGTAATTGAGCGTGTCGATCGCTTCACTTATCTTGGAAGTCTCATCAGCCCTTGTGGTCTGGTGTGTGACGAAATCTCAGCATGGATACAGAAGGCTCGACTAGCCTTTACCAACTTGCGTCATTTATGGCGTAGGAGAGATATCCGTCTATCAACCAAAGGACGTGTTTACTGCGCAGCAGTTCGTTCCGTCCTGCTTTATGGCTATGAAACATGGCCGGTAAGAGTAGAGGATATTCATAGGTTACTAGTATTTGATCATAGGTGTCTTCGAAATATTGCTCATAAATCGTGGGACCATCGAGTAAGTAACGCAGTTGTTGGGAAACGGGTACTAGGTAAGGATGGAAAGTCAATTGATGAAGTAGTGGAACTTCATCAGTTAAGATGGCTGGGACACGTGTTACGTATGCCCAATTACCGAATGCCCCGACGTGCGATGTTCTGTGGGGTAGGAGTAAGTTGGAAGAAAGCTAAGGGCGGCCAGACCGAAACATGGCACAAGTCCATGAAGTCACTGACAAGTGGTCTGAGTCATGTCGGTAGGTGTAGACTACCTGGTTGGGGACCGCGAGATGATAGCAACCGATGGTTAGAGACCCTGAATGACATGGCTCAAAATCGTTTGCAATGGCGCAGGTGCATACACTCTTTGTGTTCTCCTGAATCCTCCTTGTCTCTTTTTTTCTCTTTCCAAATTTATTTCACTGTATTATACTCTTTAAGTAACATCTCCAAACCCTAATCTTTCCGATTACTGCTTATACTCTTATTACATCTACCACTACGGGATTTGAATCGACCACTGGATCTCTGTGCTAATGTGGTGTGGTAACTCGAACTGATGTACGTACGTACGAAGTTCTACGTTGTTACTGACTGACTGAGGTGGACCGTCCATGTCCATTAACCTGGTTAAAGCGCCGGACCTTCGCTCTTTTCACCCTATCAATCTCGTAAACAACACCCCGTCGAGAGAAGACAGTGAGTTGGACTTCTCTGACAGTGGTTGTATACGCGTGGCCATATGAGAGTATTTCGAGAGGGAGAGCGGACTCTCCCAACCCTCGGCCGTACCAAGGCATTTGGAGGCTCAGCGAACAGATAATGGTGATCGTCTGCTGAAACTGCTTAAACAATCGTTTATTTCCAAAAGCACTAATTTTAAGCATAAGGAGAGACATCGCCTAACATGGGGACCCCTTGCACCAAACTTACGATGGACTCAAATAGACCATAATGTCATCAGTCATCGTTGGAGAGGCTCAGTAGAAGACTGCCGCTGGTTTTGGAATACATGTTTTGACTGATCATGCTCTAATACGAACACGCATTTATTTGCGCCTCACTGGACGCAGAAAAACCACAATAAAAAGACCAATTAGAGTTGAACTCAACGATGAGGAAATCAAAGGTAAATTCGAGGAACAACTGAAGTCACACTTAAGCGATTTTGAAAACGAGGCGGACCCAGATGTTGTTTGGGAAGGTATGCGTACAGCTGTAGAAACAGCAGCAACATCTATTAGTGATTTGAACTAAAGGATCACGAAAAACCAATGGATGTCTGTGACCTTTATTGCACTGATAAACTCTTGTAGACTCATCCCATCAGACTCCGAACACGATGACGAATGAAAACAAATCAGATCTAGGTTAACCGAAAGTCTACGATCAGTGGTGGGCAACGAAAGCAAAAGACATGGGAAAGGTAGCAGCTTTAGATAACACTAAACAGCTTTCCAGATTAATAAAAGAAACTGGAACTAAGAAGTCAAGTGTGAGACAATCTGAGAAAGACGACACTTATCTGCTCTCACTCTAGACGTTTAGTACGATGGGTGCAAAACTTTAAGGAGCAGTTCAGTTGGCTTTCAGTTACTCTACAACTGCCCATCATTCCTAAACAGCCTGAAAGAGACATTGAGATAGGCCACCTGACTCTCATGGCAGTTCTAAAAGCTACAGATAAGATAATCTGAAACGAGAAAGGGCTGCTGCTTCAGATGGATTAACTCTAGAGGTCTTTAAGTATGGTGGCCAGTTTTAGCGATTAGTTTGACTTAAGTTATAGCTAAAATCTGGGAGTTGAACGCAATCTCATCTGACTGGTCGCAATCACTGGTTGTCCCAATATATTAGAAGGGGTCAAAATCATCCTATAATAACCATAGAAGGATCAGTTTAACTAATGTAGCATCTAAAATACTAGCCTTAATAATTATCGAACGCTTAACAAACACTCGTGAAAATCAAGCTGGCTTTGAGACCCGGTCGTGGCTGCATCGACCATATAATCACCATTCGTCAGGTTTTAGAACACAAACATGCCCGTCGGCGTCCGACAATTATAGTTTTTCTTGACTTAAAAGCTGAATTTGACTCTGTAGACCGAGGGGTTCTGTGGCAGTGTCTGTCATTGTAAAGTGTACCTCAAAAGTACATAAACCTTGTGAAGTCTCCTTACTTGAACACTATTAGTCGAGTCAGAGCTTGTGGCGAACTGTCATCCGATTTTGTAACCACAAGTTGTGTCTGGCAAGGCTATCCACCATCTTTATTTCTGTTTAATTTCATCACAGACCGACTGCTGGAAGTAATGTACTCGTCGACTGAAGTTTCAGGAATGGACTTCCTACCAGGTGGTTCACTCATTGACTTGGAATGCCTAGATGATATAGTTCTGTTTGGTGAAGATGCTGATAAAATGCAGTCTTTTGGTAGAAATATGTAACAATGCCAAGATGTTTGGGATACGTTTCTTCCCCTGTAAATGCAAATTATTGCTTCAGGACTGACCTGCGTCAACATTTGAACTAAGGATAGGTAGAGAAGTAGTCGAACGCTTTGACAACTTCACTTCTCTTGAAAGTCTGCTCAGCTCTGAAGAGTTGGTGTCTGATGAAATCTCTACACGGATTCAGAAAACTCGTTTGGCTCTTGACAACTTACGTCACCTGTGATGAAAGCGAGATATCCGTCTGTCAATAGAAGTACGAGTATACAGCTCAACATTTCGTTCTGTTCTACTTTACGAATTCGGTGTTCATCTTGTTGTTCTAATGAAGTATGGCAACTTGGATCAATTTATATATGTGCCTAGTCCTATGTTGTAGATGACTAACTGATGTCCTCACAACGAACAGAAGGTTATGAGAAGCCCTATCTCAGATACTACATCTCATCTTACTGTACGAACTTCCAATGATGGTGGCATAACTCGTAAATTATGAAGTAAATGCATCAAAGATGCTTTGATAAAATTATGTACATAACTGATTTCGTGCAGTTGTTTCTTTTGATTTGCGTTCATGCTCATGTCAGCAAATCCTATTCTAATGATCCTTTTTTTCAAATTTTTTGGAAGATTTATCGTCTCATAGAGTTGGTGAGTGGAAAACAGCAACCACCTGCGTTTCGTTGACAGCATTCGTAGACTAACAGTAGAAAATGGAACTTTTGCTTAGATATCTAGAAAAATCCAAGACATTTTTGATAAACCAACTGAAAAGAGATTTATTATGTTCACATATTGTTGTCGTACACTTCCCAAGGAAAAGATGTATTAAATGTCAAAAACAAATTATTCAGCATAAAATATCTCGGCTTGATACATGCAATATATTATAAACCACTAATAATCATGTGACAGTTATAACTATCAAGCCGTAATTGTAGACCAATAACAAATAATCACTTATTTTGTTGTTTCGGGTGACTTGGTGTATGTCAGAACTCAAAAAACAAGAGGGAATAACGAAGCAGTAATAACAACACGCTGTCATAGAATATGTCCAACCAATAAGTATAAACATTTCTCAGTTATTCCCGTTGATAGCTTACAGTATGAAAACCAGATAGGCTCAATATACCAAACTGGACCCCCGGTATTATTCATCTAAGGATGCCTAGAACAACAGAAAAGAAGTAAACTGTTTGAAATGGTATTAGAACTCAAGGTCTAATAGAAGGATGATTATTACACACCACTGCTGCCGATTTTAAACCATATCACCTAAGGTTTTCAATCATTGACTCCGACAAAGTAGAGGTGGATAACTTTAATTCTTTGAAACACTGTGTTGTTTTTCACTGTAATCAAGTTTCTATCTCGGTGACATGGTATCGTTTATCCGCATGTTTTTGAAATTTTTATAAACCACAGTCTTGTGCATCTGTGTACGTTTAAATGATCTGCTAAGTATTCACTTGTGAAACTAGTTCAATTTTATTTTATTGAATGTATAAAAGGTAACAGTCTCTAAATTTAGCTCACATCAGACAATAAAGGAAGACAACCTCTGAATAATCGACAATGCTGAGTAGACCAAAGATTTGAACAGAAGGATTTTTGTAATGGTTAAACTATGAAAATGTGAATGTTGTCACTTTTCGTTGTTTGCAGAGTTTGAAATAACCACATTATATGTCCTAACACCTCTAAATGATGTAAATAGTCAGTAATTTCAGTGATTGTGAATTGTCTTGATATAGGACTTGTTTGTCATTTTAAAATAATTGGTTTTCCTGCACATGTAAGTTAAAATTACTCCCTAGTTAATGACTTCACAGTTTCTTTCTGTTTCTTATTTCAAATACATGATGTTCTGTAATATTCACTGACTTTTTACCACTTCAAATGATTATCAATTTTTATATTCATTTAGATGGAGCGGCACTGTTTTATGTGTCAGTAAAGGAGGACAAGAACTGTGATTTGCTAAATCGTTATCTACAAAGTCGTATCTACGGTTTTCCATTCAGTCAAACTGCGTATGTTGTCGAAAGAGACTGTATTTTCGTGTAAGTCTTCAATTTACCTAAGGTAAATAATTAACTTACAGTCCAGCCGGATGGGATAACCTAAAGAAAATTGGAATTCTTGAGGAAAACCTTACTCAAGTTCAACCGCATAGTCTGTATTCTGACGTAGTTCCTCCACCACCGTCGAAAAAAGCAGCAGTTCGCGAACCGGAACTATTTACTCAAGATGACCAAGTGGGTTGTATAATATGTTCGTAATGTGGCAAGTTTAAGGGTAATCAATAACTGAGATTTTGTCTAGAGAGTACTTCATTCTTGCAAATCATCAGAAATGTTGATATCTATCATTAGATAGTAATGTTTACGATAAATGTAACCAGGAGTGCTAAATAATGTTCATCTGAATGCTACTGTCCCAAGCTCTATGCTGATTATGAATGAAGTTTGTAATCAATTACGAAAATATAACTATCAATGTTTCGAAAGTTAGACCATTCTCAAGGCACCTGTAGGGCTTGGGTTTGTGGAACTTAAGTCCGCGGTTCATAAATGTAACTATGATTTAGGTTCCTTTAAGAGCTTTTAGGTTCCAGGAGATAGTGGCTTCATAGATTAATACATTTTCTGGAAATCTTATATTCATCGTGAATTTGCCCTATTCGACATGCAATTTTAATTATCTATTTAATTTAACATTTTCTCAATCAGCACGAGCATAATCATGAGAACAGAAGTATTTCTAATTTATTTATTTTCGGGAACTGTTCTGTGGGTGGCTTTTAATCTTGACCTTCATAATTTCTAAATAGTATCTATGAATACCTACTACTCAGTCAAATTTCAGTCTCATAGAGATATAAGTTCATGTGAATTTGCTAACCTTTTAGAAAATAACGAGTACTAAAGATGGATATCATGGTTCTGGTTCAAAACCTGTCCTATTTGACTCGTTCATTTTCTTAAGTTAGTTCCATCAGCTTTAGTGAAGTAAAATCACGACAGCAATACAAAACTCACCTAATTTTTTGCTAAATTGTATCACCTATGGTACATATGCTATGTCTGTCAACAAATATGTAGTAAACCAGAGAGACCGGTCAATGACAAGGAAAGCAAGACAATCACTCAGATTCAAGAGCAGAAGAGATGAGTGGGACATTTTTGGAAACTCTTGAATAGACCAGCCCCACTAAACACTCCCGGACGTCGAAGCAGTACACACAGCTCTTCCTGTAGATGTCACTTCACCAGCGACCGAAGAAATCAGGATGGCCACCAGCCAAATCAGAAGTGGGAAAGCAGCATGACCTAACAATATACTAGTCGAAGCACTGAAGTCAGACATCGAAGTAACTGCAAAGATGCTCCTCGTTCTATTCAGGAAGACTTGGGGGGGAAACAAGTGCCACCTACAGACTGAAAAAACGGCACCTCATCAAGATATCAAAGAAAGGAGATCTGAGCAAGTGTGAGAACTACAGAGGCATCACATTACTGTCAGTATCAGTAAACGTTTCAACAGAGTGTTGCTGAACCGGTTGAAAGATTTAGTAGACGCCCAGTCTCCAGATCACCAGACCATATTCCCCAGGGATCAGTCGTGCACAGACCAAATCGCAACATTACGGATCATCGTTCAACAACCAGTTGAGTGGATATCGACACTATACATCAATTTTATTGACTGTGAGGAGGCGTTTGACAATGTGGATAGGAGGACTTTATAGAAACTCCTTCGACACTATCAGTGATTAACTGATAAGATCGTTAACATGATCCAGAATTCATGGGAGGCACTAAATGGCAAAGTGGTGCATGGAGGACAGTTGACAGATGCATTGGAAGTGAGGACCGGAGTCAGATAAGGTCTCTTACTCTGCTCCTCCCTCTTTCTCCTGGTGGTTAACTGGATTATGAAGACCTCGTTAGCTGAGAGGAAACACGGAATACAATGGACAGCTCGGAATCAATTAGACGATTTGGACTTCGCAGATGATCTGGCCCTCCTATCCCACACACGAACAAATGCGGATGAAGGCAACGAGTGTAGCAGCAGCCCCTGCATCAGTAGGCCTCAGTATACACAAGGGAAAAAGCAAGATCCTGAAACACAACACGGAAAGCATCAACCCAATCACACTTGATGGAGAAACTCTGGGAGAGGTGGAAACTTTCACGTACCTGGACAGCATCATCAATGAACAAGGAGGATCCGATGCAGGCGTGGAGGCGCGGGTTGGCAAAGCAAAGCCAGCATTTCAACAATTGAGGAACATGTGGAACTCTAAACAACTGTCAACCAATATCAAAGTCAGAATCTACAATACGAACGTCAAGACTGTCCTACTGTACGGAGCTGAAACTTGGAAAACTACTACAACCATCATCAAAACGGTGCAGGTATTTATAAACAATTGTCTATGTAAGATACTTAATGTTTGTTGACCGGAAAGCATCAGCAGCAGCCTACTGTGGGAGAGAACAAACCAGCTTCAGCTGAAGAGGAAATTATGAAAAGACGTTAGAAGTGGATATGACATACATTATGGAAATCATCAAACTGTTTCACGAAGCAAGCCGTAATTTGGAATCTTGGAAAAAACGGAAAGGAGGAAGTCCAAAGAACACACTACGTCGAGAATTGGAAGCAAACATGAAAAGGATGAATAAAAACTGGAAAGGATTGCTCAGCACAGAGTTGGATGGAGAATGCTAATGATCAGCCAATGCTCTTCCACGAGGGATAAGAGGCATAAGTGAGCAAGTTTCAGTCTAAGAAATTATTATTATTATTCACAAACAGCTAATGGGTACATAAGTTTTGTGAATAGGCCACTTTAAGTTATTTCAGAAATGCAATGAAACACATGTTTCAGTAACGTTAGCATAATATCTGCCATATTTAAGCAGGTTTTATGGCATTGCGAAGAATATTGAGATAAATTTAAGTAACTTATTGATATTTAGGTTCCCTTGAGATAACTTTGAATGGTCCATCGGATGGAGGGCTATGTGCTACATTTATTTTGTTACGCTATATCCAGACGTGCTTACAATTATTTAGATCCTAAAGTACATATGTCGCTTGCGATTGTTCACCAGTAGTTATTGGTTTAAGTTTGTACATATGGTCCCATAGTTGGTCTACGTAACCTTCTAAATCATACAGGCGTAAGTAAGTAACTGTTTCATTTCAGCAAGTTACATAGTGTGACAATGCAAACCTGACCAGCTGTTCAAGTTTTTTGATTATCATTAGGGTTCGAGGCTGTTAATATGACGAGTTACTATATTTGGTTTCCTCAGTTGCTATCAATTGACTGCAACATTAATCAGTCGTTCCAACAGTCAAATCGTGTACGTAGTCAAAATATTTAGTTTTAAATGTCTTTATTTTGAGTTTGGATAGATTTAATAAAACTACCGTACACTTTTCACTTTTGGCACTGAATGTTTTTAGCCATAATTTTTACATAGCATCTATAATTATCTAGTGTTTTTTCATATATAGTCATTTCTTACTCGCCTCTCGGTCAGTATGCAAAGAGATAATGCTCAAGCAAATATTTCAAATAATACAATATCTGGTAATTCGGATTCTGTCATGGATCAGCTTGGAACAACTACTGCCTTGATGAATACATCTTCCAATGTTGGAAGTAGACCAGTTTCTGGATCTCCTCGTACACCTGGTTCTGCTGGTAGATCAAAGGTATTCGACCAAATATTTTTGTCACGGTACTTCATTTATTTGGTAAACAAGATCTATTATTTCAATTTTCACGACTACTTTTAATTTCCAAAGGATTATTTTCTACATTTAATAATTTTCTTCATTTGTGAGAGCCTACCGTTTAATAACTGTTTCAAAAGATTTATGATCACCATAAATCTGGCCACTACATACTGTTAGTGAAAATGTTCATCCTTATTAATAAAGAACTGCTCTGCAATATGCTAATCAGCCTTAACACCTAAAGTACAAAATTTACTACCTATTAGGATTATATTTATCTGGCCCTACAAAAGTTTATGCGGCATGAAAGTCAGTCAGCTACAACATAGGACTAGGCACATATATAAATTGATCTAAGTTGCCATACTTCATTAGTACAACAAGATGAACACCGAATTCGTGGAGGCAATTACGTCACTGGTAGCAATACATATTAAAAAAATATTGCATATAAGAATATGATACAGGAAGAAAGAACTGGTTCGTAGAAAGAAAAGTCTAAATTAATTTTGAGCTCACAGTTTGAGGGAAGACAAAGAATGTATACACTCACGCCATTGTGATCGATTCTCAGCCATTTCACACAGAGTCTCCAACTATTGGTTACGACAGTCGCGCAGACCACAACTAAGTAGTCTGCATGGCTCAGACCAGAAGTTAGTGACTTCAAGAAATGATGCCACGCATGGTTTGGCCGCCCCTAACTTTTTTCCGACTAATCGAGTAAGTAACGCAGTTGTTGGGAAACGGGTACTAGGTAAGGATGGAAAGTTAATTGATGAAGTAGTGAAACTTCATCAGTTGAGATGGCTGGGACACGTGTTACGTATGCCCAATTACCGAATGCCCCGACGTGCGATGTTCTGTGGGGTAGGAGTAAGTTGGAAGAAAGCTAAGGGCGGCCAGACCGAAACATGGCACAAGTCCATGAAGTCACTGACAAGTGGTCTGAGTCATGTCGGTAGGTGTAGACTACCTGGTTGGGGACCGCGAGATGATAGCAACCGATGGTTAGAGACCCTGAATGACATGGCTCAAAATCGTTTGCAATGGCGCAGGTGCATACACTCTTTGTGTTCTCCTGAATCCTCCTTGTCTCTTTTTTTCTCTTTCCAAATTTATTTCACTGTATTATACTCTTTAAGTAACATCTCCAAACCCTAATCTTTCCGATTACTGCTTATACTCTTATTACATCTACCACTACGGGATTTGAATCGACCACTGGATCTCTGTGCTAATGTGGTGTGGTAACTCGAACTGATGTACGTACGTACGAAGTTCTACGTTGTTACTGACTGACTGACTTTTTCCGACCATCCCCAACACTAGTCAGCATAGCGCGTCGTAGTAATCGGTATCCAGGCATACGTAACACGTGGCCCAACCATCTCAGTCGATGAAGGTCTACAACCTCATCAATTGATTCATCATCGTTCCCTAATACTATGCGTCTAACCTCACTATTACTTACCTGGTGATCCTAGCAGATGCGAGCAATAGTTCTAAGACATCTGTGATCAAATACTAGTAACTTACGAGTATCTTCTACTCATAATGGCCACGTTTCACAGACGTAAAGTAGAACAGAACGAAATGTTGAGCTGTATGCTCGTACTTCTATTGACAGACGGATATCTCGCTTTCATCACCGGTGACGTAAGTTGTCAAAAGCCAAACGAGTTTTCTGAATCCATGCAATGATTTTGTCAGTTTGTGATGAAAATCGTCCACTAGTCATCATCGAAAGCATTCATTCTCGTGTATTGAAATTTTGAAGTAGTCGTAAATTTGTTCTGTGCGTAGATGATTTTCCTCAGCTAATATATGGACGTACGAAACCTGGATCTAAAGCTTTTCATTTATTTGGCGCTTAAGTTTTTCATTGTTTTGGATTATTGTTCTAAAATGCATTGTTTTAGGTTTTACTTGCTCGACTCGACAACATTATTTATTATTTGATGTGTATGTTATTCGTAGTCTTGACTGTCTGAAATTGTTGTTTACAAAGGCAATCTGTTTTGTTCTATTAATGCTAGTGGTATTAGTTATTTCAGAATCAAGCTTAATTTATTTTACTTCTGAAGCTTGTTTGCGTTTTCTTAATGTTGTCACTGTAACAACTGTTCTTCATGGGCTACCAATAAACAATATTTCGCTTACGTATATGAATATATAAGATTCTGATGAGACAGTGTGCGAATTTTTTTAAAGTCCCTGCCTTTAAAAGTAAGTACTACAGCAAATAGGATTTACATAAAGGTATCTTGTATATTTTTATCGAAATGATCGAAACTGAGGTTTGTGTTAACAAGTTTCAAACTTCGGGAAGTTTATAGTGTATTGGATATCGTTTTCAAATTAAATATTTCAATGCGTTATATATTTCGATCTTATCTTTACAAATATCCTAAATATTACATGTGATTCTCTGTTAGATCCATCAGTGCAGCATACTGAATAGGCCATTATAAAGACGGTATAAATCCCACTTAGTTAAGATAAAGGGCCACCAACCCATTGATCACATGGTCCAACACAGTTCCACCTAAAGGAGTTTGGAGGAATAAGTTGTATCGTTAGCTTTAATACAACATATATATCTGATAGTACACAATCCTCCAGATGGCTTTTGAATTAAATCACTCATTATCCATTGATTTTGTTCTCCAATCTTATGATAAATACCATGTCTACTGAAGATTATTGTCACATCACAGAGCTGAAGAATAACATTGTGATACGGTATCGCGTTTTTTTTGCTGTCGTTGAAATCCTCATTATTTTGCAAAACCTAGATTCGACACTTCTAGCTTTAATTTGATGTCGATTCGTTAGTTAGTATTTCTCTTAACTTTCCTTTAAGTATATCTAAAATATCTCGGGACTAGATGATCCCTAAGTACACCACCACTTAAATACTTTGCCTTGAAAAGACTAAAATAATTCATCTTTAACTAAATTCAAGGATTCCTTAATCTAATAACATTATATTCTTGTCTACTTTATTTTAATTTTTATGTCGTCATTTTCAAGTAGTAGGCAATTTAATTCAACTATTATTTCAAAATGTTTTTGTTTATATAGTTTTATATCGTTATCACATTACCTTTGTGTCATTTAATTCACTAGTAGTCGTTTTGTTTGTAGTCACTAGATTGCCATATATGTGTACAAATCGATCAAATAATGATAATGATCTACATCATGATTAGCCATGTCCTGACGATCGATAAGAAAAGAAACAGAAAATTTGGTATAACTATAATCGATAGGCATACATTTAGATAATTCTGTTTATCAACCTGACTGTATAATTGATGGCAGAGAAAAGTCAGTGTATAGACTATATGAACCAATGAAAATAAGTAATTCCGGTTTATGTGAGATAAAAAGTTTTAGCATTTCATTTTCTTTAATCTCACATCAACTCAGACTATTTCAATGTGTTTCACAATATATTGCAGTAGTTGCAACACAACAGCACGTAAACTAAATTATACATTAGTTACCGATTGAAGAATGAATACACTAGTAATTTCTTGTTAAGAATAATTTCGCGACATGATATGGTGTTACCAAACTACTGGTAATCCCCAGTGGTTCAGGGACGAATCTCCTAAGTTTCAGGTTGTATTAACTCTGATCTCTCTTGGCTGTCTCACGCTTTATTGTTATCGAAGAAGGTTTTCCGTCTGACTTACTACATAAAGAAATTGCATGCTCTTGGAATTACTCGATATTTACTCTTACAATTTGTCAATTCTTGCTTATTACCTATTATTCTTTACTGTTCTCCATTATGCTTTCCCGGGCGTTTGAGAAAAGACTTTGCTGTATTGCGGAGAGTGCTGAAAGCAGTTAGCAAGGTGTGTGGTGAATCTTTCGAGGTCATAATTAATATGGTTGTGGATAGACATCTAAAGTCATGCAAACTCCTGGCATGTGTTATTTTATCAGATACTAGCCATCCCCTTCACTCTTATCTTTCTCCTTGTATATTTTCTGGTAGGACGAGATGTAAATACATTAAAATTCATGCACGTAAGCGAAAGTATAAAAGTTCTATAATACCTTACCTAGCAAATATACTCTGTAACTAACAGGTTGTTAGAGTTAACCTAGTCAATAACTTTCATTCTTAACATGTCTCTAATTTGAAAAGTTTTACAGTTTTTTTCAGATTTTTTTTCGTGTAAAAAACTTGTTGAAAAACCCTGTGCTGACAACTCTATATTGTACCAAAATATCATATTGAATAAAGTCACTAATAATAATGAGAGGTTGGACGTATCGTTTTTGCACAAGCTTGAACTGATGGATCGTCAACGCTTCAACAGTGCATAAGTTTTTAATTCGGCCTCCCTTCGATCCGGTTCCTTTGATTGTGTAGCTCTTAAGGGAAGACTCCTTCGAAGCGACGTGTCCAGAGTTGATTAGGTACCCCTCTATTGAACTGGTATTTTTTGCATTACCCTTTTAAAAGCTACAATGGATAATGCCTTGAGATGCGTTTGGAAAATGATCGCTTTGTGTGGCCAATGTAACCTGTCTCAGAGGAGCAGGTGAATTCATAGATGCACATCTATGTGACCCAAAGCGGGATTTCATCCTCAACACATGCGTGAATGGTAGGTCGGCTTGAGAAGGCGATTCGGAGCTTAGCTGAATTGAAGGTTTTATTCAGAGATTTTGAAATCCGTTTTTCTAAGAGTTCGGCAGTCGTATCTCCTTTAAATTTGATATTCATAAAAAGTTTTCTTTTGAACTGTTGGTGCTTTTTCAGGACGTTGTCTTACTGTTAAGTTTCTATTGACAAATCTAAGTGGATAATCATTCCTGATGAATATCTGTTGAAGTTGAAGGATTTCGTCGTCTTATTGTGCCATTAGTAGATATTCGCCTAATCCTTGAGGATTAAGTGTGAGTTAAATTCCTCTTTCTACTCAATGGAATCCAGCTATGGAAATTCCTAAATTGACCATTCCATGTCAGTTTTCTACATATAGATCATTATAAAGAACCATCTGACCTTTTCAACTGGACATCAGCTTAGGTAAATGATTTCGTCGGTCATTGCATTATCGATATGTAGGTATCATTACCAAGTTTCAACTTGATAATTTCGAATCAATTGAGCATTGGGTAGATTGTTATAAATAAATAATATATTTGCAATATCCCAATGAGTGGTAAAATTAGATTTTCTGACGTTTCGTGACTCACTGTAAGCCACTTCTTCAGAGAATAAATAACCAAAATCAAAACTAATCCCAGTTAAAATAGTACAAAGGAACTACGCAAAAATATTATGTGCAGTCAATAAAAAAACAGGTCTGAACAAGTCATTGTCATATCATTTCGGTCAAGGTGATTTACAAGCGACATGTATGTAGATTTTTTGTGTATGTATGTGTGCAAGGTTAGGGATGTAAAAACGTAACCTTTGTGGTGCAAAAGGATAGAGTTTAATTTATATGTACGATAACAGTGTGAGATGTGAATAGAATCAGACATGGTAGCTTGGATAGATAGTTGAATTCGGAGGTATGATGAGGCCTTCTTTTATATGGAGATCAGTATGATTAGGCATTATATGGAAAGCTTCAACTACTCTCCCTTCTTTGTAGTTGGAAAAACTTAATATATGGTTTCACTCAGCGTTTTTTGTCTGACTCAGCTAATATATTGATTTAAAGTAGATTTATTTTTTATTTTCATCAATGTCTGCAGTTTCTAGCTAATATAGTCCGGATAAAATGGTTTTTTTCTAGGTTCTTAATACTAAACCAAACACTATATGTACCAATACTAAAGTTCGAGTTAATTGAGTAGAATGTAAACAACAAAATAATGCCATATTTGTGGAATCTCGATAAGTAGTAACACTTTATATCTGTAAATAAGAACTTTCGTCTAAATTTGAACGAATAGTTTCACAATAAACGTTATATCTGCTTTGACATTGTCGTCTTTACCCCACTTCCGTTTACCACTCAAATCTTGTTTGTTTTTTAGCCTCCTTCAGCTGTTGGTGGAGCTGCTGGGACAACAGGTGGACCTGGACCAGGGGCTTCTGAAGGTGTATTAGCCAATTTTTTCAACAGTCTGCTTAGCAAACGCACACCTGTTGTTGGTGGAGTTGGCGGTATTGGTACATCTGCATCACTGAGTACACAAGGTTCTCTAGGTAATTGGACAAGTTTTGTTGAAGTATGTTTGTTAATCTTCAATGTATTATAGGAACGCTGCTTTTATCGCTTAAGGAATATGTTATTTGACCGTATTGAAATTCTTATAAGATAGTTTATTGCGGATGCTATATGTATAGTTTTACTGCTTAGGTGTATATTTTTTGAATAACCTAATTCATAATGTACAAAACTTTGGTTTAAGTGGAATTATCGTAATGGCTTTTTTGAACTTGATATCTGATATTATATTGTGTTACTTGTAACTCAGTTACCTCTACAGCAACCTGCACTTCGGTTTTACTTTAATTAAAACATTTGACATGGAGAGCCAGTCAGATGTAGCCTAATTAAACTGTCTATCGATGGCAATCAGAAGTGACCCGAAGGTCAAGTGCATTTCGTTGGGTCAATTTTCTAAGGTTAGAGTGGTATATATATATATATATATATGCATTTCATTCGGTAGTCCAATGCACTTTCTCGCTCACTCTTGTGATCTCGCTGAAGTAGTCAGTTGAGGGGGGTTTTAGCTCATTGTATCAGTATCAGATTTCGGACACCGCACATCATAAGAGTATTCCTCAATTTCAATATGTGTATTTAGTTCCTATCTGAATATGTGTTCAGTTTTTGCTTTTGTATGCAGCCTTTATGGTGGATCGCTACCTTTAAGTCTTCAAGGGGAATTTATGAAAAAGCTATGTTTGGTTGCTTCTGTTCATGCTTAGGTTAATTCATAAGATAAGCTGATTACAGATGATGCTTTTACACCAGTTTCCACGTGCATCTGATTTGAGGACTTAATTTGTCTATCGAATAAGTCTCTACACTATCGCATGGCTAACATCAATGATGTCCGCCCATTCCCCCCTACTTTGTGTGAACTTATGTGTGTCGCCTTCAACCACACCTTTCGATCGAGCTACCTTTCACGACTAACAGTTTCTGACTAGGCAGTTCACTTTCATACGAACTTTACACAACTTATTTTAAAGACGAATTCTACTTGCCTATTAGCGTCTTTAACTTTAAACTTTGGTATAGGAAACAGGCTTGTTAACACATTAGACGTAATAGTTTGAGAGGACTGAGTCTGCTATGTGGGATGACTTCATCTTCAACACCACACAACAGCGACACACTCAAGGTTCACACAAAGTAGGGGGGAATGGGCGGACATTATTGATGTTAGTCATGCCAAAACTCGGTGTGCGACAGTGCAGGGAATTATCTAGGAACTTGTTCCATAGACAAATAAGGTTCTACAAAGTTTTAAATAGTAAGTAGAGGACACAGTATGTGAGTCATTAAGATTTAGTATCGTTCCAAAAGAATCACAGGTAAGGCAAACCGAGGTGATGGAAGTTATATAATACCATTGCTAGGATCTTTTCCCAAACAGACTCAACAACGATAAATGCGGTTGTTACTTCTTGCTTCACTTTACAACCAAACTAGCTAAAATATCGGCATGTTTTTTTAATACTGTTTTTGAACCTTTTTGCTTTCTTAGGTTTCTCATTAGTTGTTATTGTAAATATAACACCAAGTGACTATAAGTTCTACTATTTATTAAAGTCGCAAGTGCACTTAGTTAAATAGTAACGTTCCCAAAAACGAGTTTTAGTGTTTGATGTGAACTACCTTCAAATCGATTACAGATAACTAAATCATAAGACAGTTTTGTAAACGTGCTATCGTCGAGACTACAGGAACGTGAATTGCCCACTTGGAGCTCGTTTGTACCACACCAGATGATACTGGCGTCGTTATGAATAGTATAGGATAAACTTCATGATGTTTAGTTTGAAGCTGCCTACTGCTGACCCATCGTATAAGACTTTGGAATAATACCATTTAGTGATTACTTATATGAAACGTAACTTCGGTTATTATCTGTCGTAATAGCCTAAATGTATCTACTCTTTTTTATTCTTAGAGGATTCTATCTTCGATGTATTTCTATTCTTATTGTCTTTTATTTCTTCACTGCTCTTGCAAAGTGTAATGTTATGAACAGATAGACTTTTGTCTTTCCAATTCCTAACTAATTGTGGATTTCGAAGCTTTTCGTTTCAGTACATGTGGTAATTACTTTAGTATATGTGGTTTTTCTTGTATTCATCAGTTCACTTTTGTAGTAGCTGGTCACAAAATTATCCTATCCTTTAAGTTTTCTATCAGCTTCGTGATTATTTTCGTTAACGTCATTGTTTCTGTTGTTATCGCCATCTTATTATCGGTTTCTTTCTCTTACATTGAAAGAACTTACAGAAGTGCATCCATAGATTTTACCAAGTCAGGTTTTTTTCTGAACAAACTTCACTCGGAATCTGTTGTTTTCTTGTAAGTATCTTCCATAAAATTGAGATCGCTATTTGTATTTGAATAGTAAACCTTTATTCTTGTTTAGCATTTAAAAGAATGGTGACGTGGAAAAATTTCTTAGCGAAGCAGTAAGCTGCTTATTCTTTTGGTAGCTTTGATTTTTTAGTTGTTTGCTCTTAAACAAAAGATATTTAAGAAGTTATTGATACTTCTTATCCTTTCTTGGCGAAAGTAATTTGTAGAAATTCATGAAATTCGTTTCTCATGTTAAATTAAGTGAATAATTTGATTTTTATAAATTAACTGCAGATAGGACGTCGATCTCACAAAAAGATATTCAATCTGAGCTAAAGAGGTTGGCTCAAAGCTCTCGTGAAGCACTGGATGTTGGAGACAATGGTCCTGAACAGTTATTGGGTGATGTTCGACAACAAAAACTGGACGAAATGAAATCAGTTGTCTCCTCATCTCCTAAACCGACTAAGACAACATCTAGCACTAACGAGCAACCAAGTCAAGTTTAGCTATGCATTGATTCTTATTATTTCCCATATTCTTGGTCTACGGATTCGGTTAACAATTCAGATTATCTTCAATACAACGAACTGTATGCTTTAATATAACATTTTCATTCTTCTTTTTCTTATTCTGATGTTTGGGTTTCGAGTTCCTTTTTCGTTATATTGTTTATATCAAACAAGCGCCTTCAATATGTGATTCATAACTTAGGTCCCGGTCATCATTATTCAAAATCAGTATTCTCAGAATTGACATTTGTGCAGGTTGACTTTATAAAAGCGGTTCTGTAGAGGGAACATTTGCTTTAGCTGTGTGTCGTAAATTGACCAACCTTATCACGCCGTCTCGACAGGTAAAAAGGTGCGACTAGTAATTAAGTGCATGTTTTATGTAAGGCCGTAACCCTAATCATTGACCTGGAATCGACTGACTTGCGATAAAGTAGTCAGTCAGTGATTTGAACTTCAGTCATTCTATAACATCAAATACCAAGAAAATATCAACTGGCTTGACCTAGTGGTTGGATACTATGAGTATTGGTATGTGTGCATATCAACAGTTAAGTGGTGCTTTTCGTTTATTCGACGACATGTACTAGACTGGGAATGCTATACTTACTAAACCCAACAAATTATAACAGGGATGCCAAAGCATTTATACAGTAACACGACTCCGGTGGGTGTTCATTACCAGTGTCAAGCACTGTTGGTCTATGAAGTATAACATAGGGGTGGGTTCGAGATATCCCTGAGATTATTGGCTTCACAGCGCTGAGGGACAATCTTACGCAATATTTTCCTTGACAGGACTTTTGTCCGGTGATGATGGTTTGGACTCTGACGCTGTTTATTTCAAAACAAGTAAGCGTTTGCGACTTCTTTTAATAACTGATGTGACCAGAGTCAGCTGCAATGTCCAGTGTTACCACAACGTAGCTATAGTAACCTAAACTCTTGGTACCAAGAAGTAGCTAGTCCTCGAGTGTTACGAAGTACACTGTTCATCCTTTTTGAGCATGGTTATTATCATACACCACATGGTCACTAACAGGAACGCCTATTGTTTTAATAAAACCAGATGACAAACAACTCGGAGAAGCGGTATCCGTCAAGAATTAAGGCGATGCCGCAAATATCGCCTCGATAGTTTGGAGTATCTGACAATGAATGTGTCCAATCTCACCGCGTTCAAAGCATCCAGAATCACGAATTACGAGAATGAAAATTTACTAAACTTGCTCTCACCTTTGTGGCTTGCTTTGCGATCCTTCTTTGAATTCGAAATCAAGTACAAAAGATAATTAGTTCATACAAACACTACAGTCGCAAATCCTTGAACTTTATTTAAATAATCTCAAATGCCTTGTTCACTCGATGGTGTACTTTGCTATCAGAGCCACTCAAACTCGCATTTGCTTATTAAGAGTTCCCGTATGCGTGGAAATGTGAAAAATAGCACGACAGCGGTTTGCGAAGCAAAACACATAAGTAAGCACAGGTCTTACAGATGTATTTCCTGCGGTGAACCATATGTATCTCGTAGTAATAAATGCATTAAATGTAGTAAACCCAGACATATTTAGTCAGTATGAAGGCCCACTGTTCATTTCGGTGCAAATTTACTCCGTTCATTGGTGTTCGTCTAGTTCCACTTTCTGCTAATTGCACTATTTTGAAAATTCCTTCTAATTATCGTACATATCTTAAAATAGGTTTTTCAGTCACATCAACAATTCTAGTTTTTTCATCATTTACTGATATCAAGGTTTCAGTATATGTTCACTAACGAGTTGATACAGTCGTTTAAGATTTAAGATTTATTATACTAATCCCGGTTTTTGAAGCTTCTGGCTTGAAAAAAGGGTGAAATATGTTGTAGCAGCCATAAAATTTCGATCTCGCATATGAAACTGCATGCATTTTTTATTTAAGTCTTGTTTAGTGTCGATCTGTACTTCCACCTGAACTGTATAGGCAACATGCGAAATTACAATACACGGACTTTAATGATATATACGACATAATGTCCGCATGTTTATCTGTATTGTCGAAATTATGCAGACTAACGTCTGAAAAGCAAGCGCAGGTCCGGTGAAATTTCACTGAGCCCTAGCAAAATCATCAGGCAATCGGGTTTTTGAATATCGAACAAGGTCAAGGACAATCAACACGCATCATTTGATCGGACGTCATGGACTGGCCCATGCGGCAGTGGTCTTACTTCCGCTTCTGTCTACTTTGACTAATATATTTTTGTAATAACGTCTTCTGTTTTGTACAATCTTCAAAGCATCTATGATTCCTTGATACATCAATGGGGTAGTCCACGTAAAGTGCTAACCACGGGGTTTGATATAAAAGAGAGCCTGGGATAAATTCTGCAAATTATAACCCACATCTGGACGGCCACCTCGAATATAACGACTATCTGCTTAGAAATAGACATGAATTAAACAATAAGGTAGTGTTTTCATAGCTGAATAGTATCCTGGAAACTACTATTATCACATCATTTTAACGTTACGAATGTTTGCTCATGACATTCGGTTAAGAAATCCGTATAGCAATTTACATATCCGTTGATGATATATTCAAAGTAACCAACCTAAAGATGTGTTTGAATTTTGACTAGACCTTAACCACTAATATCTTTTATAATCTAAACGTGCTAACTCAGTGAGATCGAAAGTCAGAAGCGAAGAGGGCCGAATATTTAGTTGTTAGGATATCGATATATCGAGAAGTGATTGATCTAAGCTGGCTAGCGGCTGTAGAAGTGAAGCACGGCCTACCCAAGCGCCTCCATGTAGGTGAGTCTATTAAAGCTGACGTAGTCAAAAGTCGAAGCCTTACAGATCCATTGATTTCGATTATTTATTTACCGCTTAAAAAAATTAACTATGATGAGTTGAAAATTAATTGCTGTTTTCTAATACTTGAAATCGATAACTGTCAGGTCGAGTACATCCAATGCACTGGTTAGTTTGTAGCGTGGCGTCGAGTTGAGATTAACTATGAACACCGTGTAGCGGTAAATAAATCCCCAAAATAGATAGCCCTAAGTTTTCGACATTAGATGCTGACCATATGTTTTAGTGGACTCATCTAGCTGAAGGCGCTCGGTCTTGCATCCGCACCAGATCACATGTGGTAACGCCGTGCTCAACATCAACCACAATCGCTAGCCAGATTAGATCAGAGAATTCCGATATATTGGTCATCTCTAAATATACTCTTCCGATCTCCTCGACTCTGTCTTTTGATTTCTCTGGGTGGGAACGAAATATATTAGGTGTTACTGGTAAAAGCGTTGTCAAACACTGAATACCTGTGACATCATCATTGGTGAGCCCGACGTGATCTGGTACACCTGATTGCAACTGTGATTCTGTTCCTTTTTGGGATTTTTATATATCATTGCCTTATTTTTTTATTTTTTTAAACATTGTGATTTTTTTTCGTAATTTTTCTTGGATATATATATTTTTTCCCCTCGTTCATTATCGTACTTCATATTTCATCATGACTGAACAGACACCTAAAGTACTCAAGCTTAAGACTTTGTCCCCGCCTTCGTTTCAACTGATGCCTTTCTGGCCCGACAATATCGATGCCTGGTTTTGCTACGCAGAAGCCGACTTCTACGAGCACGGAGTGATCGACACACGTGCACAATTCCTCGCGAATTCAACAGGTACGTAACACCTAGTATGTTTACTAGTGATGTTTCCGATCCTTACGAAATCTTAAAACGCTCGATTCTTAAACGAGGAGACCTAACCGATCGACAAAGGTTAGATCAACTCTTCAATAACATCGACCTGCAACACGGTTCTGCGACGGACATGTTGCAACGGATGAGAGAGGTTATAGGCCCAAGAACTTTCGACGAAGGTTTATTCAAACAACTCTTCTTGTCAAAACTTCCCCAACAGGTGCAAGCAGTTCTGGTCTCGTTCCAGAACAACGCCTTAGAAGAGCTAGCTGCATCTGCCGACCGCATTTTAGAAATTACGAAACCTCCTACTACCGAGGTATTTTCAGTCAAAGAAAAACCTCAAACGACTCAGAATGATATAACCGACTTATGTCACACACTCACGCGTTATCTTAGTCCTCGTACCGACCGTAAGAGATCGCGCACACCACGTAGAAGCATTTCTCGTAAGCGATCTGTCTCTAGACCACGAGAGACAGATAACCCCGACTGGTGCTGGTATCATAACCAGTATGGAAAGTTTTCCAGAAATTGCAGAAAACCCTGCAATTTTCCCAACACGAAACCGACTGATTCGAAAAACAACTCGGGAAACTTCCAAGCCGGCACGCGTTAACGGCAACCGTAGCCGACGAGCATAGCCGTTTGTTATACGTCACGGATGTGACAACGAGAGTTCGCTACCTCGTCGACACTGGCGCAGAAGTTAGCGTTCTCCCAGCAAATCCTAACGACCGACTACACGAATTGACCCAAAACTTACAGGCGGCAAACGGAAAACCGATCGCTACGTATGGCAAAAGGTACGTTTACCTTAACGTGGGTTTACGCAAACCCATACACTGGATTTTCGTTGTTGCAGATGTTTCTATGCCAATCATTGGTATGGACCTTCTACAACACCACAATCTGATCATCGACACTCGCAAACGGAGGCTAGTAGACGGAAACACTAATTTGTCCGTTTGCGTAACTTCTTTTACTGGTTGTGGAGTATCCCCAGTCACCGTTAAACATATGATAGACCCACTCTATCAACCACTACTCGATAAGTACCCTGGGATACAACAAACTCAACCGAAACTACCATGTGTAACCAGCAATGTTACACATCACATCACGACTACAGGACCACCTGTATTCTCTAAAGCACGACGACTAGCTCCTGAAAAGCTAAGGTTAGCGAAAAACGAATTCGATCACATGATGGACTTAGGAATCATACGACCGTGAAGTAGCCCATATGCATCTCCGTTGCACATGGTCCCTAAAAAGGACAGCAACGATCGGCGTCCAACTGGTGACTATCGGCGATTGAACGCGAAAACCATTCCCGATCGTTACCCGTTGCCTCACATTCACGATTTGACAGCTACTTTGAAAGGTACAACTGTCTTTTCGAAAATCGACTTGGTTAAAGCGTATAACCAAATACCTATGGCTACTGACGACATACCGAAAACAGCTATCATAACTCCTTTCGGACTCTATGAATTTTTGCGAATGCCTTTCGGTCTAAGGAACGCTGCTCAAACATTCCAAAGATTCATAGACGACGTTTTTCGAGGTCTCAGCTTCTTACATGCGTATGTTGACGACTGTCTAATCGCAAGTCCGGACAGAGAAACACATCTCAGGCATCTGGATCTTGTTTTCGAACGACTACAAAAACATGGCATAACTGTAAACGTTCAGAAATGCCAATTCGGAACCGACTCGTTAGACTTCCTAGGACACACTATCGATGCTCAAGGCATTCGACCCCTTAGAACCAAAGTGGCGGCCATTCTGGATTACCCAGAACCGACCACCGTCAAGCAATTACGCACGTTTAACGGCCTGGTAAGTTTCTATAGACGTTTCATACCGAAATGCGCATTACTCATGAAACCTCTGACCGACCAACTTCGTGGAAATGCGAAATCCATTAATTTGGACGACACCGCACGAAAAGTATTCTCCACAGTTAAGGAACTGATTGCTAAAGCAACAATGCTCGCACATCAGGACACCCGAGCACCCATTAGCATCGCAGTAGACGCATCCGACTCGGCAATCGGAGGAGTCTTACAACAATGGGTTAACAACTCCTGGCAACCCTTGGCATTTTTCTCTAGAAGGTTGCTAGACACCGAATCGAGGTACAGCACATTCGGTAGGGAACTCCTAGTTATGTATTGTGCTGTACGGCATTTTCAACACTACATCGAAGGTCGTGAATTCACTCTTTTCACGGACCATAAACCGCTCACTTTCTCGTTAAGCTCTCCTTCTGACAAGTACTCTCCCCGTGAGTCTCGACAACTGGACTACATTTCGCAGTTTACTTCAGACATTCAACACATCTCTGGAGCAAACAATGTAGTTGCAGACGCCTTATCTCGCATAACTTCCTTGAACAGTTTCCAAGGAATCGACCTTCTTAAACTCGCCGAGCTTCAAAAAGAAGACAGTGATCTTCAGCACGAATTATCGTCCACAACACTAAAACTACGCATCAAACAGATGGGAACAGGTAACGAAACCTTACTTTGTGACACGTCTACAGGTAGGGATCGCCCAATCGTGCCGAAACATTATCGACGCAATGTCTTCAACACAGTGCACAAACTTTCGCATCCAGGTGTTCGTGCAACCATCAAGCTTATAGCAGAACGGTTTTGCTGGCCTGGTACGAATAAAGACGTGAGGGAGTGGGCACGCTCCTGTGTAAGCTGCCAAAAATCTAAGGTCATCAGACACAATAAATGTCCCTTAGGCTCGTTTAAAACTCCCGATGCTCGTTTCGACCATGTTCATTTGGATTTGGTAGGACCGTTACCAGATTCAAATGGATACTCTTATCTCTTAACCTGCGTAGACCGTTTCACTCGATGGCCAGAAGCAGTACCTATCAAGGACATCACTGCTGAAACAGTGGCCCGCACCTTCGTCGAACGATGGATAGCAAACTTCGGTTGCCCTTCAACCATCACTACAGACCGCGGACGTCAGTTTGAATCTGATCTTTTCCGTCGCCTGACCACACTATTAGGAATCACTCGCTTCCGAACGACCGCCTGCCACCCACAAGCAAACGGGTTGGTAGAACGTTTTCACCGACAACTAAAAGCTTCACTATCAGCTGCAAACGTTTCACAATGGACCGATGCTCTTCCACTCGTCTTACTAGGTATCCGCAATGCAGTGAAAGCTGACATTGGATACACTGCGGCTCAACTCGTTTATGGAACAACACTTCGACTTCCAGGAGAATTCGTGGATCCTTCATCCTCTTCAATGAACATGGATCTAACCTTCTACACGAACAGGCTTACAAACGCAATGCGTTCAGTTAAACCTGCTTCCACTCGACCTCAATCAACTGATGTTTTCGTTCAACCTGACTTACGATATAGTACACACGTTTTCGTTCGTCGAGACTCGCATCGACGACCATTCGAATCAGCAAACGAAGGACCCTTCAAAGTTCTTCAACGCGAACCGAAGTACTATATAGTCGATAAGAACGGAACAAACGATAGCATCAGCATCGATCGCCTCAAAGCAGCGTACTTGGAAGGAAATCCTATCTACGTCGATTTTCCTTCGTTACAATCGAACGACACGACTCCACTCGTAATTCCTCAACCGACAACCAATACTAGCGATGATACTCCGCATGTATCTGAAAATAAACCTAAAACGACGCGTTCTGGAAGAAGGGTGAGATTTCCAGAACATTTAAACGACTATTGCACGTAAGGCACTTCTCGACATTTTATATTATTTTTTAAAAAAAATTTTAATATGCTCATATATTTTTATTTCTATTTAAAAAAAAAAAAAAACAATTTTTTTTAACGCTATTACGTGTTCATGAGTTTATTTTCCATTTTTTTCCGCCGACAATGTGTTTTTGAGCACATACGAATGTATTTTCGACATACACTTACATTTTCTTTTTTCTTTTCCAGGACGGCTGGAAAAGAACGATGACGTTTATGAGGATCCGAAATTTTCATTGTACATTTTCTTTTTTTACTATGTTGTACCTCCGTCCCATATAGTAAGGAAAGACGACCAGACGCTGCTACACTTAGTAAGCTATCAGAAGAGTGTTTACCAACGACAAACTCGTTGGGTTTAAACTTCTGGCTGGCCACGTCATCACTGCCCCACTAGGGGGGGAGTGATCTGTAGCGGTAAATAAATCCCCAAAATAGATAGCCCTAAGTTTTCGACATTAGATGCTGACCATATGTTTTAGTGGACTCATCTAGCTGAAGGCGCTCGGTCTTGCATCCGCACCAGATCACATGTGGTAACGCCGTGCTCAACATCAACCACAATCGCTAGCCAGATTAGATCAGAGAATTCCGATATATTGGTCATCGCCAAATATACTCTTCCGATCTCCTCGACTCTGTCTTTTGATTTCTCTGGGTGGGAACGAAATATATTAGAAGGTGTTACTGGTAAAAGCGTTGTCAAACACTGAATACCTGTGACATCATCAACCGCTACCAAGAAAGACGTGCCAAATGAATCAGAAGGCGAGGGTTGGACGTAATCAAATAGATCCATAAAATCCCCGAGAAGCCAAATATCAGAAGACAGTTAATAGACCAAGTCGAGGTTTATTAGCTGGCGATCTCGTGGCATCGAAAGGATACCGAGATCGTGCCAGGATACAACCTTGGTTACAGAAGGTAACCGAATTCGCGCGAAGTTACAATCGAAGTGTAAGTAAAAGAATGGAAGCCCGAAATAGCTGTCATTAGCACGTTAAAACAAACACTGGTACAGTTGGTTATAATAATAATTGTTTTTATTAAACCAGTCGTGTTCTCGTGATAAACATGAGTCACTACAAGTTTACATCGTAGATTAACACTTAATTACATGTCCTTAATGAGACTCTTGTCTGACCAAATTTGTGGGAGCTCATGAACAAACAAACTGGATGAAATGGCTTAGACACCGCTCAATACAATGAAACACAATGTTACCACGTCAATTGTACTTGAACACCCAGATTACAGAGTATCGATTGTAACTGATATGGACGCACGCTTAATTGAACGACAACCTACCAATCACACGATGAGGGTTTGTTATAATAATTTAGTCGACTGCTAGAAATTTTCTTTTGAGCTAAAAACGTATCTCAATGAACAAAATTTTTAGATCGACAGGTATTTAGATGTGATTCGACAGGATTGTTCAGTACTTTTGTTAAGTGTTAAAAATTACGAATTGTTTGACTTTTCTGCTGAAGGACGACTTGTCTAGGTTACTAGCTGCAACCATACAAATTTATACTAATTTATCGTGTTGCCACCTGGTCGACAACACTAAATATGTGTGAAAAAGTTTCAATTAGAGAAACAGAAACGGCAAAACGTCTTTGGTCAGTTAAACGTACTTAAGCAACTTTCAAACTATTGTAGGTCTAGCCTTCTAGATGAAGTAACAAACAAAGCTAAATTTGGTCTGTCGGACTCCAAAAATCTTGTCGTATTTGGTGACGATCAGTGCGGAAAATCAACTTTGATTTGTCAGTTACAAGGCAATGGAGACAAGCGGGAAGGATTTGGTCTGGAATATGATATAATCGAGGTGAAAGATGAAGTTAAAGATGGTAGTTATGCAAACAACATAATAACATTTAACTTAGTTTCCGCAAACCTGAGCGTCTCCATTATAGATGGAAACCCTATTCAAAGCTATCTGCTAAAATATGTGATGACCGAGGACTCGTTCAACGACCAAATGGCTATTATAGTCGTCAGCATAAATGAACCTTGGAAAATAATTGAAGCTTTGGAAAAATGGGCAGAAATACTTAATAAACACATCAATAAACTAAAACTGTCAAAAGAAATGATAAAAGCATGCAAATCAAGGAGTAAGCTGAACTCAATTATTTGATTGGTTTGTATGATTTCTGATTTTTTCAGATTCATATTTCTGTACTGAAGACAGATGTTCTTCAGCTTAAGTCAGTTCTTTAACAGCATGTTTCTGATCTTCTTTCGAATGAGTCAATTGAAGGGGTGGACACCACTTTTAGGATAACGGAGTCAGAAAATTCATGACTCGTTGTGAAAACCTGTATGCTATATGTTTTTGGTTCGTTCTTAACTTTTGTACTTGCCTGGTATGTCGTCAGTGTTGTCCTAATCAAAATCCTTTCGTAGAATTCTATGTATTAAAATCTGACTATGTATTAATCTGTGGTAGGACAGAGTAAAGAGGTCTAGCTTCTTAAGCCACTCTATTTCTGATAAACAACGATGTTCTGGAGTCGTAGGGGTAGTTACCCTCTGTATATTTTCCAGGATATCCGAGTCATCTTTCAAAAGGAGACCTGCAAACCGAATGCAGTTTTCAAGTTTAGACCACACTAAGATTGTGTGTGCTATTTTAGTGCCCCGTATATTGCCTGGTCCACCACACTATAATGAATATCTTGTAGTCTAACTTAGTAAACATCTGTCTTGAAGATCATATGGTTCTAAACGCCTTTGTTTTGGCCTCTATCATTCTGGGATCCTTGTGAGACCTGACTGAGGGTACTGACTCTTTCCTTATGCTGTAACCGTTTACCGTTGTATTCCCAAAGTGCATATAAGAACACTTGGTCGCGTTGACAGACATAAGCCAGTTTTTAAGCGCGGCTAATCAGAACATACAAGTCTGCCCGAAGTGCACATGCATCTACGTCTCCTGTTACTTCCCACCAGATTTGCACATCATCAGTGTTTAGTAACTGCGGAAACTCAACTTTACTTGGGGGTTCATTTGGACACAGTATAAAAAGTAAAGGATCTACGATAGAGCCCTGAGGTACACCACTAAATACTCATTTCTAGGAGCAGCACTTGAAATTCATTCTTACTTTCTGTCAGTGATCTGTCAATAAATTTTTGATACACTTTAGGAGATGTTCGGTAATTTCTAGACTTCGAGTTTCAAGAGCAGTCTGTTTTTCGGCACCATATCAAATGCCTTGTTGAAGTTTTATGCAAAAGATAATCTTTTCCTGAAACTATTTTGTCCACTGTTTAACAATGTTTTGGTTACCACGAATGCTGTTGTGACCTTTTTGACTACTACTTCCAGTATAATAACCGGGACACTGGTAAGGATGACAGGTCTGTAGTTTGATAAATGTTTTTCTGGATCCGTTTTATATATCATAGAGACAATTGTATTTTTCCAGTCCGTAGGTAACTCATCTTGGCTGAGGGGTGTATTGAATGTTGTAGTCCGCGGGGTACCAATATATTGTACAATTCGTCTCAATACTTTAGGATGTATTTCATTCGATCTTGTTGATTTATTCGTGTCTAAAGCACTGAGGGCCTTGAATATTTCACCTTGATTAAAGTTCACAGTGAATAGCCGGTTTTGTGACTTTGTACTTTGGCCTGGTTCGTCGTTTGTTAGAGGCTCCTGAGTGAAAACTATCCCGAAAGATTTTGCCATGACCACTGCATTGTCCTGGCCTTTAACTATTATTTGAAGTCTATTCCCATCAGTAATTAGGTTGGAAATCCAGTGATGGGTTCGTGTTCTGTCATTTTTGTACGAAAACAGTCTATTCAGCTGCTTGATTACAGATTGGGGCAAATGCTATTCATTTTATCTCTAAACAGCCCAGATTGTAATTATATATTTATTTCGGACCGATTTGTAGCATTCGATTGTGTCCACTGTTTCAAGGCTGATGGCAAAATTCCAACGTTTTGTCATTTGTCTTAGCAAACATCGAATATTCTGATCTATCCATGGATAGCAGTGATTCTTCTTCTGTGAGACTATGCAGGATATAAAGGTTGAGCTATTTGACTGTACAACCACCAGGAATGAGTTCATGCCTCTTCTACCGAAGCATCTGACTCACTTTTCCAGTTTTCAGCCGAGGCTGAGGTGTCGATTGCCTTCATGTTTTCCCCACATATGTTAGGACGGGGTGGCGCAACTGCTTAAAGACCACAACAGCCATTAACTTTAATAAGATGACCCCATGGTCAATTCTCTTTGTACATAGAGTAAACATTATTTGACCAACATAACCGTATGTGAAGATTAGGTCCAAGAGAAAAGAAGTGTTCTGTAGGTCGTACCTGGTGGGATCTCTATTATACTTAAATGAAGCCAGGGCGACTGTGGTTTAATGCACTGCGTAATCAAACGATGTTTTTATTGATGCTACTTCTGAGTTTCCCCAATTCGCAGAAAGTGCATTAAAGTTACTTTCTATAAGGCTTTTACACATGTTTGACCAGAATTTAAGTTGACTTAGGAGGAAGTCGTCTATGATGCATTTTGGACTGTGGTATACCACAGTTACTACAATGTTTTGTCCTCCACATTTCACTACGTCAGTTCACATGTTTTTGATTGATCTGCCACTGCATCTACAGACCGTATGATTAGGATGATTTTCATGTACAGGATAACACCATCACCTACTGTTTAGCCTGTCAGCCATACAAAATAAGTAACCAAGCGACCGGTCTTCATTATGATACACTTCTAGCGTTAACCATGTTTCTGAGATGGCAATCATATCGGGATTTTCTGTTTCCATCATATCTTCAAGCTCCACTACCAGCATTTATATAGAATACCTTTGATGTTGTGAAAAACTCTTTCGTACCACTCCGAGTGGTTTGGTGATCATTTCGCTCTGAACTTTAACAATGTGAAATATAGGGCATTTTTACCATTGAGGTGTTATCTATTTATTTCTACCTCTATCGATTGTCACTCAGTACGAGCAACCAGGCTGAGATATTCAAGGACATATATTCCGGATCCAGAAAGTTTGCGCGAAATTTCCGGTATCAGGTCTCATTCTTCAGTAGAAGCAAAGTACCTCTTAAGAGGTGGCTTGTATGTGTACCTTTGAAACCCACATTTTGTCCTATTCTATAGAGCTTATGAATGCTAACTCCTGCCACTCTTTCCGAAAGTAGCTTGCTTTTAAGGACTTATTGCGATTTATATAGTGTTCAAATCTAGCTTTCGACCTTTTTTGGAAGGCTCTATTAATTTATAAAAAATTACTGGCCCGTAATCAAGATTGGTTCTGAGAGGCTGTGAGATTTCGTTTCATAAACTCTTTTCATCCCTGCAGTCCGATTCGACATCAGACGTGCAAGTTTCACTCTTTTATCTTGATTTTTCAAATGCTACTGCTGGCAAGTTATTGACCTTATTTCGTTTCCTGATCAAATCGTATGCATTGTTCAGGCTTTGCTCCTTCCCGGTCTGTTTGTGTTGTAAACTTATATATTTTAGACCTCTCTGAAATTTGTTCCTTCTTAATGTACTTCCTCTTCTTCTTTGAAACCATGGCTACATATGTGTATTTGTTACCCACTACTTTATAGGGGTCCAACTTGGTGGTTTTATTCAAACCTATAGGTGGACTCATGATGATGCTCTCTGCTTCTCCAACGTATGACAGCTGCTTATCTGCCAATGGCTGTCTATCTGATGGGATCGTTCTAGCTGTGTTTAGCAGCCTGATCGCCTCAAGAATCAGCCAAGACTTTTGAGGGCAGCATGGCTTGCAAAGCGTTTTATATTCAGGCGGTGAGAGTTTTGTGCGCATGTTGTGATACCACTTATTGCGATTGTCACACTGCATTCATTTCTCCACCGGAAAGAAACATGTGGGTCTATCACGGAAAGAAAAACGCAAAAGTCTCTTTAAGCGCGGAAAAAAAACTTGTATCTAGAACAAGTGCTTTTAAACCGCTAAAAGTGGTAGACATGACACAAACACTGGAACTTTCATGTTAATGCAACTAAAAATTCAACCAAAATAAACATTAAAGAAGCCTTTACACGTTAGAACACACTGAAAACTAAAAAATTACTCGACGAGGAAAAATACCACTATCGTTTTTAAATAGCGCGCCAAAAGTTTCATCACCTGTGCATGGAGACCTATACAAATTTACTGTTATATTATTATGTGTATTACTCATAAGTTCTAAAATTTTAAATATTTCTCGGGATCAGATGGCTGTAAACACTTAATAATGAGTAACTGCAGTCAGATATGTGAACATCCTTCGAATCAGTCAACCATGGATACGTATATGAAGATTTCATATTTTTATCTTATTCTATCATTGTTGCTTAACCGGAGACAGAGACTGTTCAAAGTATTTGTGATTTATCAGCAGAGAAATTCGAGACTAACAAACGTTCGTGTCCAGAGGTCTTGTGAAGTATGGAGAAAATCCAATGGAATCTTTTTTTATCTTATAAATGAGTGTATCAAATTGTAGATAAGATAATTAATTAAGATTATTTAGGTTTGTTTCTGAAAACTCTTCGTTGATTATGACTCACGAAACGTCGCAGGGATCGCAGCTAATTTTTGCCCAAATATAAATCGACATTTTGTACAGGTTTACAGAAAATATACTCCAAAATTCAGCCGGTTTCAAGGTACGTATCCTACTCTTACCGGTAACTATGATGTAGATAATTTATTTATTTTGGACTTTCGTTCAAATATCAAATTACGTAACTCAGAAAGTCTAATGGTGTTTTGCCATGAAAAAACGTGCTACAAATTGATACAAAATGACTATGGTATCAATATAAAACTTTGAATAATAAAAACATAATTGAAAAACGTAGTTTCTTTAAGATTTCGTCGAAAACGGAACAGCATTATCAGCAAGATTCAGACAATTTTATCTATGATATGTATACTCTTTATGATTACATGATCTTCGCGTAGACCCTAAATGCTAGGATATATTTTTACATCATTCCGTAACCAAAGTTTGCAGACCGTTCTCGAATTCTTTTCCAGTATTCTCCATTTTTAAAATGCGTAAAAGAAGGAATTATTTTAATTACAGACTGTGTTGCATTAAATCAATTTTTGGAGACAATTCTGTCTTATGAGTCTGTAAATTTCCGTAGCATAGTATTGTCTAGATCGAATAAATCTCTTAAATTGTCAGCATATACTTGTCAGTTGTTTGAAGCTAATAGATACTATTTAATATTCACTTATGAATAATTTGGATGATCATGATCAAATACTTGATAACTACAAGAAAGAATACTGGGTCATTGATATTTATCCTATTTATAATTTGACTAAGTTAGTTGAAAATCATATTTATCGGCTAAGATTCATAAGTCTAACATTAGGAATAATTGCAGAAGACAGCTGAGAGTTTTATACTTGAAGTAAATGTGAAAGACAAAAGATTATGATCATGAAGTTTATAGGTTATCTTACAGAATCTTCTGCTCAAACACAAGCCATATGTAATTTTAATTCATATTAATGGCTTTGAAACCATTATAAAAATTGACTGTTGACTCCTTTCTTAGCATAAAATTCAGGTTCGGAAGGTAATATAAACATCGAGCAGCAAAAGTAGATTCCTGAAATTTGTAACCGTATGTCATAGATATAATTGGTACGCAATACACTAAATACAAGAGACCTCTAACCTCAATAAATTTACACAAAATGGAGACCAAGATATAATTTCATAGTGTTCCTATGATCATCTACACAGGTTATTATAGCAACAATCATAATCTAGAGTAGTAAACGTTTTTACGATCTATTGTCTAGTTCAACAGCTTCATCAAGAAATAAAATTCCGAAGCTTTATGTTGTTAGAAATTCATTACATTAAGCTTAGTAATACGAAAAAGAATTTCTAAATGGTTTGTATAACTGCTTCATTGTTGAACTGAAATCTCAGTAAATCCGATCTGGAAAAGATCAGAACAAATATACATCCAATATGCTCAGGGTTCTGTGATTTATTAAATTGTTAGAGAGTTCAATTGCCAGTCTGTTCAGTGACTATTTGAATAACGGTTAACCACTAACCCTAGAGAATTACTTTTCATTAAATTATATTTGGAAATACAATTGGCCATTTTAAAACACTGAGAGGTTCTGTTGATAATGAAAGCAGATGCTTAGGTAACATTAAAGCATAACTTGTTTCGTCTATATTTCAGTTTCAAAAGAATTTTATGGCTACGCTGAGCCAGAAGCGTCAACAAATGATATTATTAATCCAGTAAATTTAGCTTCACTGTCCACTATGTATGCAACATCTCAAGAAACTACCCCTCAGTTATCATTTTTAAATGATAATGAGTCGTTTATTGAAGAAATGTACGAGGATAATGTATTAAATAACAATCTTGGTGTACCGTTAATCGTTATTGTAACGAAGGTAAATGATTTGATGAAAAATATCATATTCAAAAATAACTCATAAATAAGTAGGAATTATTTCCTTTTTATAGTTTTCATTTCGATGGCACTTATATTTTTGCCTCTTTAAAGTTGTAACTATCACCCATCCAGTTTATAAATGTTAATAGACGTAGAATTTGATAGGGGTGTGTATTGGTGGGAATAACATTACCTCAAATTAACTCAAACAGAAGAAGTTAACTGTATATGAAACGTAAGTTGGTCAATATGACCAACTACAACGGAAACCCAAACAAAAATGATACGGTTAAAAAATGAGAAATTCGACTTTAGAATGAAGGGTTAGGAATAATGCTATGTCGAGATTTAGTGGAAGTTATAAAATAATTATAAACATGGCATATTTCATGTTCGACTTGAATATTTCTACTGGTGTCACTCAGTTAAAGATTACTTGTTACATTTGTGGTTTTTTATGAGAATTTTACTCCAAAACAGAGGTAAGTAGTCGTAACACTCAGTTAATAAATGAATAAATCATCTTTTATCGGATTTCATTATTAGAAATTAACATTTATTAGTTTTGGTCAACGAACAGTGTAATCCTATTAGATGAAATGTCACTCAAAACATATATTCTGTAAGCACACGCTTTGACACTAGCTGAAATCGTTATGAAATAACATTTTGTCCTATTCGAAACTCGTCAGCTGGATGTACCTGCGTCACAGAGTAGATGAGCACCATAGGAATCGAACCCAGTACCGGTTGCCTTGAATGACATTGCGTTATCCGTTTTGTTTATGACTCCATATAGCCACTGGCTTGTGAAATGGGGTACATCCAGCTGACAAGTCTCATAAAGAGCAGGATGAGCATCATGGATTCCACTTCTAACCACCATTTACCTCCGCTTATAATGCTTGTGACTTCATGATAATACTATGGTAACCCACACAGGATGGATATGTACCAAAAAGAAACTAATGAATCTCAGTCCTCACTATCAATGCGAAGATGCTAACAACCAATACTAATGACTTACTCTATTACTTTTGCAATATTTTCGGTGTTAAATAAAGAGTTATAGTTTACTCTACATTGTTCTTTCGAAAAATCATAATAATTGGACTCATTCACCAAATATAATGTAAAAACAATTGTATTATTATTTCTATAGATTAAATTCAATTATTCTGTACAGATTAAATGAGATTTTATGGATTTCATTTATGTTTAGACTAATGACATAAAAATATCTACTATCAAACATTTGATTCAAAAAAAGCTAGCAATGCAATACCTTTAAATCCTAATAAGATCATAATTATTTATCTACACAGACCATCCAACTCAAAGAACAAAATTCCATCAAAATCATCCATCTGAGTTACAAATCTTCTTCACCATCTCATTAAAGCGTCTGAAACAATCGATTTTAAATTATATTGTGAAATGTTAATTTATTAGTAGGTTAGTAATAATCCATAATAATTATATATCGAAATATTTCTTTGAATAGTAAACTAATCTTGTTTAAGCAAAGATGGATAGTGGCTGGCAGTGGAATCCAGGACGCGCGTCTCGTCCTGTTTGGGACTCGTCAGCTGGATGTACCTGCATCTCAGAGTTGATGTTCACTCTGGAACTCGAACTCAGTACCGTTCGCTTCAAACGCCATCGCGTTATCCACTTAGCTACTGAGTCCTGACAGCCACTTGGTTGTGCGATGGGGTGAAGTTTAATTCACTTGGTATTGTTTTACTTAAATCTTCCCACTTGGTTGTGCAATGGGGTGAAGTTTAATTCACTTGATATTGTTTTACTTAAATCTTCCCATTGATGTTTTAGGACTGAAATTGATCAATCTCTTATTGGCATATGTGCATACTGTGCATATGCCTCGATATTGCCTTAATTTACAAGCATTATAAGCAAAGATGGATAGTGGCTAGCAGTGGAATCCAGGATGCGCGTTTCGTCCCGTTTGCTTGTAAATTAATGCAATATCGAGGCATTCGCACAGTATGCACATATGCCAATAAGAGATTGATCAATTTCAGTCCTAAAACATCAATGGGAAGATTTAAGTAAAACAATACCAAGTGAATTAATCTTGTTTAAGTTTCTTGAATGTGATGGAAGTTATTTCTATATCTAAAAACATAAATTTACTAATTAGTGTTAAATGGAGATAAGAATAAATAAGTTGCAATATATTATCTCGAAAATTATTAATTACTTAGTGATAAAAATCGAGTGAACAGAATTCAAATCGGATTTCTCCTAAAATATCTACATGTCAACTATGTTAATGACATTTGTATTCTTTTATAAACTAATAAATGTCTTCAAATAAATGAAATGATTATCAGTAACCGATCAATATCAAAATAGCATCGGATAAGGAGATCTTAAAAAGAAGGATATATTTGTAAAATCTCAGCGAATGAATTTTAAGTAAATCCAACGTTTCGCCTGGCAATCTGGTCCAAGCTTTTTCAAGGAGAATATAATCAAACAACAAAATTATCGAATATAAATAGATACAAGGTTCTTCGGTTTACTGTATACTGAATAAGTCATCCAATCAACGTGAAGGAGATCTTGTTGAAAATTTGATATATTACTTGACTTTATTAAATACAATTTTACAGTTGTATTGAAGATAACATATGTGTTGTGAAGCTACTCACACATGCACACATGTAATGTATATAAAAATGAAATTATACCTCTTCTGATTTTTTCTAAAAATGTAGCTCACTCTTATGAATCTGTTAACTTTAAACGAAACATAGGCTAGAGATAGTTTTAACCACAAAATGACGGAAAAGAAAAATACGATGAGAAACACAAAGCACTGAACAATCCTTCTGTTCTATTTTGGGACTATTTTATAGCGCACGCTCTTGAAACAACATTTGATTAGAGCTAGTACCTTCAGGTTTCGTAGAGAGTCCAGTAATATTAGTTTACTGACCTAAAATCAACAAATGCTTGTTTTAAAATTCAATTGATTCGCAGTATAACAAAATCAACTGCTGTTTACTAGTTACTGTCTCATTCTTGACTTAATCAACACCATAGGCGTTGGGTTCCCGTGAGAATGTAGAAATCGATCACTAATCTAGTCAGCGATGAACATATAGGACTGTTTAAAGGCTTTGTATATGATATATTGAAAACTTGTTTTCCTAATAAAGAATAGTAATCTTCAACCATGGTGTGAGCTTTGATATGTAGCCGGCAGAGTAATTCTGTAGATGCAAAGGTCGAACGATGACCATTTTATAAATTTAGAACTTTCTGAGTCAATGATGGATACAGTCTAAAATTGCATTAACTTTTGTATAATTATCTGATGCATTCATAAGAAAAGACTTCTAGGAGTACAGTTTTGATAATACTAAAATTATTTGTTTAGTAGCGTGCTTTGTATTTAATAAATACAAGTTGAGATAATTGTTCACTAAATTACAGATGATGCATAGAGGACAATTAACTGATCAAATAAGAAGCCATTAATTTTAATAGATTGAGATAACTGTTTTTATGTTAAAAGAAAATGAACTTCTTAAGAAAAATTCTGATTCAAGTAGCCTATTACGTATTTTTATATTATATCCCACTTGTAATAACCAAATATAAATACTAGTAAAGATGTACTGAATATGCATGCATTAAACTTAATGAATTAATCTTACTGTGATCTTTTCTGCTTATAATTTTGAATATGCCAAGAACAATAGAAACCATAGTGTCATAACATAATTATGTAAAACGAAGATAATCACCTATTATTCTGGTTCACTAGATGATGTTCTCATTTTACCTAAATAATTTATTGATCCAATACAAAGTATTGTAAAATCAAGAAAATAAGATTATCGTCTTACAAGGAAGAATTATATTACTATGATTAAAATTTGTTAACATTTGTCAACAATAGAAAGTAATTGCATGAATAAGAAGTTATATTCGACTCAAAGTAGATGTTTTTTTGCTACAAGCACGTAAAGCTCCTTGATCATATGATTGTTTAAACTGGATATTTATTTACGTAGATAAAATGTTTGACAAAATATAAATTAAAGTAAAATGACAGAATGGTTTAATTATACCTTTCTGTAAGATGGACCAATCAGTCATTTGATCTGTAAATCACTAACTTGAAATTGTTTTTTTATGAAAGAACTATTTAATTTATTCAGTTATTTGTACGACCGCAAGCAGTAATATAGTTAAACTCATTGACCACTTGGTTTATCATGTATTTTTAATCATTTTTTTTAAAAAAAAAAGAATACCAAAGCCTCGCCTGGGTATGTTAAATTATTCTACTAGCAGCTTAAATTGCCTATCAGATAGCGAGTGAATTCCAGGAGACTACTATGTTTTGCTTTAAAACTATGAATAATATACTTCATTATAATTAATATAAGAACACTGCTAGCCTTTGGTGGAATGACTGAATAAATAATGTGGGTCTTCTGTAGAGAGTTATAGGTAGATATTGTGACACTGATTAGACTGTCAATGATCATTTATACAGGGTGATCAAGACGTGTGTTTTATACGCTCAGTCAGCAAAAATCTAACAGAGTAATTATTCTAGCTAGTATGGGCGTAGGTCAGAAAAGCTTTAGAAATGGTTAAACTACTACATGTCATCAGTTCATTTAGTTAAGAATTGAATACCACGTCAGAAGCTACTATCTGTCCGTATCAGTCAGTCAAGAATGATTAATATAGACCTAGCCTCATAGATTTCTATGTTCGGAATATTTTGTCAGTCAAAGTTTTGATTCTGAAACGTTTCAATTCTATCAGAAGATACAAAAAATAAGACTTAATTAAATATTTAAAACTGATAACTATTTATAGATTTCCACCGATTGAATAAATTAAAAGAACTTGTATTTGGTAAAAACTTGTTAGATAACTTATGGTGATTTGAACTTTACAAAACAACTATCAATTACAAATATCTATCTAGAACCAAGTTTCACTTTCTTATAAAGTTTCATAATGATGTTATCCTGATTGAATATGAATGGGACTAGAAATAAAGATGCTTCAAAAACATCAAAAGTAATATTAAGCATGAATTGTTCATTAGCTAATATCACACCATTTTGTAACAGATCATTAAATTAAAACAATTATTATTAATTATAACATATTAATGACTGATCGAAAAAAATTAAGCTATCAGCTTAAATTTATTCTTTGACAAATGACAATCATTTTTAGTTCATGATAAATAATTAAAAACGAACATCCTAAAACTAATTGAATAAATTTTTGTGTTAAAAAGTAACATATTTTTTTACTAATTTACTAAGTAAAGAGATTTCATGCTCTTGGAATTACTCGATATTTACTCTTACAATTTGTCAATTCTTGCTTATTACCTATTATTCTTTACTGTTCTCCATTATGCTTTCCCGGGCGTTTGAGAAAAGACTTTGCTGTATTGCGGAGAGTGTTGAAAGCAGTTAGCAAGGTGTGTGGTGAATCTTTCGAGGTCATAATTAATATGGTTGTGGATAGACATCTAAAGTCATGCAAACTCCTGGCATGTGTTATTTTATCAGATACTAGCCATCCCCTTCACTCTTATCTTTCTCCTTGTATATTTTCTGGTAGAACGAGATGTAAATACATTAAAATTCATGCACGCAAGCGAAAGTATAAGAGTTCTATAATACCTTACCTAGCAAATATACTCTGTGACGAATAGGTTGTTAGAGTTAACCTAGTCAATAACTTTCATTCTTAACATGTCTCTAATTTGAAAAGTTTTACAGTTTTTCGTTTTTTTTTTCTTTTAACCTTTTTCCATTTTTTGTCTTTGTTACTGTTTTTTTGCGTAAGTAACTTATTGAAATACCTTCTGCTGACAATTCTATATTGTACCGAAATGTAATGTTGAATAAAGCCACTAAATAAATAAATAAATATAAATTTTGCATAAAAACTATTTGATTAACTGACTTATGAAAAACATCCCAATCTAAGGATATTTTTGCTACATACCAACATTAACTAGAGAATCTTCCTAACTAGTTAAAAGTGAATATCTACTTCTATTTCATTTGAAAAAGGTTTTACAGTTTGTATTCATAAATAACTCAACTGTGTCAAGAGTAATGCAGTTATCAATTAATGTGATTACATTATATTTAAGTAATCTAAAAGTAACACAATCAATACAAGATTAGATGATTTTAATTTACAATCACTAACGAACTTCTGAATACTATTGCTTATTAGTTCTAGACTAGAATGAGTGTTGTGCTAACCGAGTGATTTAGTTAAAAGTAACGTTGTAAGTATCAAAAGAGATCAAGTTAGGATATTAAGGTTATCATCATAATAATAAAAGCTCAAATACATGAACATATGGATAAACAGAAAAATTGTTATTTTTTTCAGAATAGTAGTATATTTCGTATTTAAAACAAAATATATGGTTAAATTATTTACAACCATAATATTCGTTTTAACCTGTACTACTAACTATTGATTAAACTTGCATATAGTGAACTCAGCTATCAGTTTACAATTTCCTACATTATACAGATCATTAGTGGTTAGAAACTGTACTCTATGGAAATTTTACTCTATTCAATACTTATAAATATAATAATGAGAGATTTGACGAGTGCAAATGAAATAGTGTATAATGATTTCAATATACATTTATTTAACGTTACACGGACTATATTTCAATGTAATAATTAAAAAAAAATTTCTCGCCTTACAATGTTTTATCCTGAAACTAAAACAGACGGACTTAATGAAGATAATGATCAAAGAAAATCAATATTCAGAAGAACATTTTGATTTTATACAAATGCATATACGACGATTTTGTCTTTCGTGTGAGTTGTTATGTTTTCTCCCTTAACAACTGATATGTTTCACATTTTGCCACTTATTAGTATTCAGACCAAATGATTATTTTAACTTTGAATTATGTAACATCTTGATGAACTAGTAATACAGTCATTAGTAATATTAATTATTACTAGGGAAACGGTATGCAATCAAAATCGAGTGACTGATCAACTTAATCATCTCGGACTGGTTACTGACAGAGTAAAAGATCAAGTTATTATTAGTTTTGATTGTAATAATCAGACGATGGCTGAGAGATGAATTGCAATAAAACATTCTTTTTCTAATTAGCAAACCAGTAGAAATTAACGAACTGAAATCATTAAACAGAACAGGGTTTGCAAACCTCGTTTTATTGCTCTATTTAAGTTTATAGAAAAATCTAGTAGTGTAAAAAACTAAATGTTATTTTTTATGTTGATAGAATCAATCTTAAGAGCTAACCTTTCAAAATAGAAATTCTCTTATTATAACCCAGCTACTCTTATTGCTTAGTACTCTTGGGCACTACTTCACTAAACAAGTCCTTGAATCAAAACACAGTTGAACAGAAATGTAATTGTACTTCGAATAAAAAAGTTGGATGGAAGTAGGAATCGCAATAAGAAGAACGTTAGTATACTTATAATTTTTACATAACATTCAAAAGTCTTCTACACGTATCCGTTAGCTTTGATTGGTTACGAATAGTTAATCAGCATGCTCCATCACAATCCTGCATGGAACATTCTTCGTTCTAATCTATATCCCACTGACAAAGTTATTTGCTTTTAGGATAATGAAACTAATATTTCCGTTTTATACGGTGTTACTCGAATGAACTCAATTTAAATCTTTGACATTGTATAAAAAATCTCAAGATTCCAGTTGATTATAAGAAAATATCGCTTTTAACTCATTCTCTTGAAATGACTAACAAGGATTTAATTTAGATTAAGTTGTTTACAAATGAACTGGAATCGAGGTGCTAAATACTCAAAGTCGGAACATTTGTGGAGTCATGCACTCGAAAATCTCTGGCATACAAGTAAACTTTAATGAGCATGTGCAAGCTGCAGATGAGTTTTCCTTAAAATTCCATTTACTACAATACGAAAATATTTATTTTTCATCAAACTATTGCTATTTGAAACGTACAATCACATATTATCCTATAAAAATCTTTTAGATGGAGCAGCATTATTTTATGTGTCAGTGAAAGAAGATAAAAACTGTGATTTACTAAATCGTTACATTCGGCATCGTATTTATGGGTTTCCTTTTAGTCAAAGTGCATATATAGTAGAAGGAGATTGTATTTTCATGTAAGTAACTATCAAATATATTTATCCTTTGTGAATTTCTAAAAGGTATTTTTTGTAATAAATGAGAGAATATATGAACATAAGAAAATCAGAAGCTATTTTCTGGTTAATCAAAACATATTTTTAATATTTACTAATTAACTAAATGATTCATGATATTATATTAATTCCATTTAGACTACTAACTGTTATCGTTTCTTTTTTCATACATAATTTATCATAGATTAGTTACAAATCTATTGCTCAGAATTTGTTCCAAAATATCCTCATAATGTGCACAATGTGATTTGTTATTTACGATACGTTCTGTATTTGTATTGCACATAATCACTCTAGTTTTAAGTTCATTAATGTGAATATGGTACTGGTTTGAGTTTCTAGCGATCTGATTGGTGGTTGAGGATGGGAAATGTTTTGCCTGAATAAGTCGACGTTAGCATTTATTCTAGATGAGTAGTGAAATTAATGTTATTGGCGTAAGCGGGAAATATAAAAATGTCAAGATAAATGTGAAGTTCAGAGACTGGACGATCAGAGTCAAGAAAAATCCCGAAAAAATTTATGGACTAATAATAGGCCTTTTGCCTTCTGATAATGGTTTGAGGAGACTGATGTTCTATATCCATATGGACGGCCAATGTAGAAATAAGCTGGAAGGAAGCTAGGGCAGACTAAACAAAAAACGCGATATCAGTCCACTAAGTCAGGGACTGTTGGATTGAGCCATATCAGTAGGTGCAGACTACCTGATTGGGGTCTGCGTGATTATCGTAACCAGTGGTTATAGACTTGAATGACATGGCTCCAAACCGTTTTCATTTATGTAAAATCTGTTAACCCTTAGTAGTGCTATTGTTTTCTTTTCCACAGACTATTCAGTTTTAAAAGGTTTAACTGATTAGCCAAGAACAGACTAACAATTTGCCCCGATTATTTTAAGCTAGCCCTCATTCTGTGCTCATATTCACAACTGCTGCCACCTTGGTTTCCATATGACAGTAAAGTAGTCTTAAAAACTACCAGCTGAGACCTTTAAGGGATGAAAGAATACCTATAAATGATTGGTAATTTCTGAAATACCCTTTAAAACTAGCTACAATTTACAATGATGATAGTGTTTTTAATGAATATTATGATCTCACATTTTGTAAATAGTGATTTATCATGGCAAGAAACTAGATCTTTGATTTGTTCAATAAATATTCATCTTTAGAAATCTGAATAGGAAAAGAGACAAAATAGGCTGAATAAAAAAAACATATTACAAAGATATATCATTTAAACTGTCTCAAATCAAAGAAGCAAATAAAATTAGCAAAATATCGAATTCTGAAACTAACATAAAACTGATATTTAAACACTGATTAAACAAGTAAAATTAATAATAATGAGATAGCAAAATATAGATATACGTCCACGGTTGTGAAGTGATATCTGTTTGTTTAAGATCTGAAATTGCTTATTATATCCAGTCCATGCTCTAAGAGACTCGTTAGTTACATGTTTTATAATTGTTAGTGTTAATTTGCCTACACTAGCTAGTGTTGCAAACTTTTGTACAATACACTTCAAATGATGACTTCATAAGGGTCACCCAGTTCTTCAGATGCACAGATAAAATACTATAATTTTTTATCATATAATCTGTTGTCAATATCGGTGTTATATAGCAATATGCATTGACAAAGATTTCGCAAAGCTCGCTAATTAACGGTATTACCGTATCCTCTTTTACTTATCGCTGTTTATATCGTAGATTAGAAACTCAAACGTTAATAGATTATTAATTATTCAATGTCAGAGATCTTAAACTGTGAACGGTTAGTGAAAATGTTGCTTTAGGAATTATATGTTAGTGTTAGTCTTGTAATTTGTTTCATACATAACAAATCTATTGTCTGCTATCAAGTTATGTGGAATCAGGTGATTCGGTTTGCAATTGAAGCCATTAAGGAACGTATTCTCATCAATCTCTAGTCCTATGATAATATGTGTAGTTAAATAATACAGGAAATAAAATTCGTTTCACATGGTCTTATATATATATATATATATATATATATATATATATATATATATATATATATATATACTGTCTTTAGATTAGTTATGTCATACTACTACTCTTTGGGAACTTTGTCAACAAAATTCATGGCACTTATTTACTGTTGACACTAGTATTCCATCAAATTTGTATTGATTATTGAAAGAATATAGTACCAGTTACTAGACAGACTTCTAAGACAACACAAAAATAGGTCGACAAATAGTCTGGTATTAAAAATGCAATTTGAAGTAAAGGGAACTGTAAAGTTAAACTAAAGTAATGAAGGCTTACCGAAACCAGTCTATCTAAATATACACTATCAGTCCATCAAAAGCCTTTCAGAGATGAATTACAAATATATTACACAGATAGACATCTAGCAACAATGATAAAATATGAGGTCTGATATGAAATATATGAAATAAAGCTGTCTGGTGAGAAAGAATAGAAATAACAAAGTCAAGAGGTAATTAGTTATTATAAAAATTAGGGATTAGAAGCTGAACAAAGGTAAGGTTGTTGGTTCGATTTCGTTTTTTGACAGAGATCTCAAAACTTGTCGTTTAGTTTTCTGTTGATTCTTGTATTTACTTTTGAGTATATTAGTGGGGACGAGATTTATAGTATAAAATGTGCACTAATGTATAATGACACTTGATTCATAAGCACTAAATGTTTAAATACTCTAAAAATGGTCTGTTCAACTAAATTCACGAGAATAGTGAGACTTATTCCATATCATACATAAGAGATTCTTTTGAAAATGACTGTTGTGTATAAACACATATCCTCCTTCTGCTTTTGGCGCTCGGGAAGTATTATTGCTCTCACGCAAATCGAATGATGGAGTGTAGTGCATACATAATTGGTGCCTTGTATCAGTGTTGATGTGTTTAAATAAATATACATATCTACATGAAATTACTACAACATGAATTTTATACTGACATTTTATAAAGATCTTTGGTTCATCTCGTACAAAGCCATCAGAAGAGGTAGGTTTACGCCTAAAACTGAAACACAGCTTGCAGATATGTGAAAATGTCAAAATGAATCCATTGCTAGTTTCACATACACTCTCCAGATACATTGTATTTTAAAGACTTATTTATTTTCTTATACCAATGGTATGTAGCAGCTAAGAAGAGATTTAAGGGAACAATTAGATTCTGTTTGGATTTTGATCAGTCTCAGTTTATTTATATGTATTCTGCAGATTGTCTCGATATATACAGTAGTTCAAAAGTTTTTTCTAGAATAGATGGGATGTATCTAGAAGTGGGATTCGGGATGCTTGTTTCGTTCTGTTTGTGACTCATCAGCCTGATGTACCTGTATCTGAGAATTTATATTTAGTTAAACGTATCAACAACTGGCCATTCCATAATTACTTACAGTGTCCATTAGGCAACTTATGATAATTTTAAAAATAAGTTTATCTGTTAAGTCTCACGTATAAATTATTACAAAACAAGGCATGGAACATTATTTTGGAGGGGTTCCACTTCAATATTCAGATCTTCAATGAACAGTTTATGGTGCTATATCAGTGTTGGGCTGATATGAACAGTAAGAGCATTAACTCTATATTCCAAATATAAAAAGACGATAAGTCCTACATAAAACAAAATCTGTGTCGTGGATTCCAATGCTAGGGATTATGGAAGAAAAAAATATGCAAGCAGAAGAAAAGAGTATAATGATGTTCATGGTTATACAGGAAAATTAATTCTTTGCATTTATTCTGCGCAAAAAATATGAAACGAAAAGAAAGACATTTTTCGTATAAGCATAACAGTGAAATATCAGAAATTACCTTGTTAGTTTTACAATCAATTAATTCCATTAAAAGGGATAAAAATAATTAACCTAGTTATAAATTTTATACAAGGTGAAACGTGATTAGAAAAATGACTGGGCTCTCAAAATAAATGCCTAGTTCAGAGAGAAAGGTGAAACATGAAAACTAAGTCTTTAGACGCTCTCTGTCATAGAATGTTCTTTAAATTACAAACCAGAAACTTTGTATTTGGCAAAAGCAACAACGTATAAATGCTTGGATATTACAATTAAAGTATAAAAATGGGTTGCATTTATCATAAGAATGTATGTGTTTTATGTGTAGAGCAGTGCGAACTCAATTTAATTTTCTTTTTAATGAGAAATACAATTAATAACCTTACGATTTTTTCCTATCTATATATTTATTGTTCAGTCCAGCAGGTTGGGATAATCATAAAAAGATTAATATCCTAGGTGATAATTTAACAAAAATCAATGCACAGCATCCTTTTTCTACCGTTATCCCAAGACCAGTACCACGTAAAGCAATTCACAGAGAACCAGAGATAATGGCCATTGATGAACAGGTATGCCGTAATACTTGTCATTTACTTTTTAAAATCATTACATAATACTCGTTGCATATAACATATGTTGAATATATGTCCATAAGTTGTACAAAAAGGACTCCCTTCTGGGGTTGTTAATGGATGAAGGGAGATCTTAGTAAATTTGGAAACTACAGTGAAACCATACTACTTCCAATACTAGGTATTTTTCGACAGAATATTTCTGAATAAAATGAATAACTCAGAAGACATTCAACTTTGAGATTAATAAAGCTGTCTTTCGCATAGATCAATCATATACCGAACAAACTGATGCACTAAGGATCATCGTTGTCTAGTCAGTCGGATGGAACTCATCACAATACATCAACTTTCTTGATTATGAGAGAGCATTCGATAGAGCTAATAAACAAACTTTGTGGAACTTCTTTAGACACTATCGTGTATCTGAAAAGCTTTTCACCATTAAATAGAACTCTTACAAAAGACTGGACTACAAAGTCGTACCTGAAGGACAGTTCACAACTCCATTCCAAGTGATAATCTGTCTCAGACGAGATTACCTAGTCCCACCTTTTCTCTTCTAGATAATAACTCAGTTATGAAGATAGTATTAGCGGTAATAGAGAAAACCAGGGATCTAAAATACGACTCAGGCAATGTAAATTAGTGACATAAAAAATTGAGGAACTTAAAGGATTATAATTTGGGGAAGACAAAGAATGGATGCACCTACGCCTTTATTTTGACGGACCAATTTACTGCCTGTATGTGTTGTCGGGAATCGGTGAAGAGATTTACACAGGACCTAGAAATCTTAATGGATCTAAACGCATATCACTTCTGGCATTTGACCTACATAGTACCACTACACATAGTAATAATTGGAGATTTAACTAGACAGATTCAAAAATTACTTAGGACTGAATCCCAGTAGTACATGAGCACAATGGGTATTCAGCATTTTAAATAAGTTTGCTTAGTGAAAGCTAATGATTGATATAAGTGATTTATCTATATATTACTTTCAAATAGATCTAATTTTAGATTCACATTAGTATCTTCATTTAAATTAAGTCGTCATGACTAAAGAAATCACCACTTTTTATGGGAAGCCTATTACTATTTATTATTTTAAGGGATAATCCTGTTGCAACTAGAGTATACCACTTAATGAGTCTAAAGAATGCAGTGATGGGGAAAAGTTGCAACCCAGAAGAATTGTTACTGATTTTTTGTCCATTACACTGGATAGCCTAATCGACTGGAGTGTCCAACCCAAATAAGGAAAAATCTTTAAAATATGTAAAATAAAGAAAACGTTTTTAATTATTAGAATAGCTACCGTGAATAAACGATGAAGTTACCATTTTCATGACCAAAAAAATGAAAAAAAGATTCCTTAGGAAACGTTTCCTGAGTTCTGAATTATTTTCCTAAAATGGTATTTGTTTTTAATTTGCGAATCATCAATAGTGTACACCTAATATAAATCCGTAAGCGAAAGCATTCTCCCATTACACTAATTTCAACAATCTACGCAACCAAGATTACAGGTTCACCTTGCTGACAAGTGCCAAGTAGCGTGAAACCCGGGTCCGGGTTTTTCTGTTGACTCCCTCCAACCACCATCTAATATATATACAGTGTTACAAGCATTTCTATATTCTTACAATTTTATATATAATAAGTCTCAAGGAATATTGTTTTTTTTACCTAATATAACAAAAAACCTTTAGCTATGGCGTATAATAATATTATAAAACCAAGATTTCAGAATAATACATATATTGTTAATAATTGTGAGGATCTTAAAACTTACATGAAAAACAAACACATGATTACAACTTCACCTCAATTATAAGTGTGTTCAATTGAAGAATCTGTGTGAAAATTTCTATTCCTATTTCATTATTTTATCAAAAATATAAAACTTTTTTTGTTATATTCAGCATAAATATTGTTTATTACAACGTGGTTAATAATAAGTTAAATAATTGGTTTATTGTTTATTTATGTGCATAAAGTAAATCATTAACCCTACTAAGGTATGACATGGTTTATTTTGCAACCAGCTTATTTTCTCAGTAATAGTGCTATTGTATTGAACAAGAACACAGGCGAGGACAATCGAATGTACTTAACACAAAATTACAGGACTTGTTAATAAAATCTAACAATCATAAAGTAAATACTTAGTTTGCAAAATGTACACCAATCGTCCCAAAATGACTCAGACTTCATTGTTCTTGCATTTTCATACAAATTACATCCTGTTTCCATTTTTTATTGTTCGATCCTCTTGTCTCTCTGCTGCCAGACCTTCTGTTCACGACTAACATCATATACTACTTATGTCAATATAAGTAGCACACACCACACTATCAAAAAAACTAATAGACATTGAAGGAATTGGAAATTTTCGAGAAGCAAGAAGCTCAAAAAGATTTTTTTCATATTCACTTAATCAGTAATGCAAAATCCAATGTTTTTTAAACAGTATATACAAAAGAAAGGCTTCAGTAACAACAGGTACATAATATTGTTTGATATTAACATCAAACTAGTTTGATGAAAAAATAATCACCATTCTGGAATTTATACAATTTACAATTCTCAATTCATAAATTTTGAGTATGAAGCTATCCTTCTGATTGTCAGTAATTTATGTGAAGCTTTATAGTCTGTGGCGTAAAAGAACATACATTGTAATTTATTACATAGCTTTAGTTTTCTGTAATGGAATAAAACTAGATATTTTCGCCATTCGACTTTTCCAAAGAATTATCATGGGTGCTTATTAGCCAATCAATAATTATTTTAGAAAATTGTTTCAAGTTTTTTAAATACGAAATATAATTTGGTGGGGTTTTATTACATGTTATTGATTATTGTAGGCTTTTCTCCTTCGACTTTCAACAATCAAAGAAAACGAGAACATAGATCCTAACATGCTAAAAGAATTATTAGGCTCTGGGGGTTTACCGTCCAATTCAAAACAGCCTGCAAATAGTTTTAAAATTGGATCAGGTGCTAAAACCATGGATGATAACAGTCGTTTACCGGTCAGTCCAACCCCTATATTTCGTACAAAAGTAAGTTGATTAATAATGAAGCGATAGATACATGAATAGTACGGTGTTGTATAAATACAATTTGATTACTGGTTATTTGGTTCAGTAGGGTGTGTAGAGCTACAGAAAACTGATTTCATATTTCAATGAATTATGAATAATATTTAACAAATAATACCAAGTAAAATATGTTTTTTTTAATACTGTAAGCCTATAATCTGAGTAGCGATAGTATTTAAAACACAGAAATTTCTTTACTGACTTTATGCAGACTTTTAGACTCTTGGTACTACAAATTTAGAAGTATGAACAAAATCAAAGGCGGAGATATGGTTGAAAAATTACTACAATTTCCTGAAATCATCTGGAAAAGATGCCAAAATCAAAAATAATCCATGGATTCGATCAATCATATTAGGAAGGAACCTGAATATAACAGGTTATCAAGTGTGTTGATTCATCAAACCTATTAAGGACAGTTCTCGACTGTTGTGAGATTTTTAAAAAAATTTTCGATGTCTCTTAATAACAAAAATTTAGAATAAAATACGTGCAACAGTTTACAAAGAGTTTACATTAACTTTAAGATCAATGTATACTGATTATCTAACATTTCATCCATTTTCAACATTTTCTGAACAGATTTCTTCAGTAGGTCCAACAAATAATTTAACTAGCACTCCTATACAAGGTACTTCAGATGGCGTACTAGCTGATTTCTTTTCCAATCTGCTTAAAAAGCGACCAGTTGTAAATAACACTACTGGCGAAACGTCTACTGAGCCTCAGCTTCAACGTACATCACTATCATCAGGTAAGCTGAAGTAACAATGAATTTAGTACACACAACTAACAATGTTGTCCAGATACATTAAACTATTATATTGCTTTTGTAAAAGCTATTAAATGAGTTCTAACATTGAGAAAAACTGATCAACAGATTAATGCTTTATTAAAACCTATTCAATAAATGAAGTACATAATGTAAAATGCTTCTCATTTAAGAATTTAAGTCGCTATACATCAAATTAAAGAATGTTTGGATATTGACGTACAAATATATGTTTGCCCACAACTTCGAATACATTGGTTGCTTGGATCTTCCCACTAGTGTTTTAGGCTGTGATTAATCAGTCTCTGCACAAGCTTGTGGCTATCTAGACTTAGTAACTAAGTGAATAACGTGATGGAGTTTGAAGCAAACGGTACTGGGTTCAAGTTCCGGAATGAACGTTAACTGTGGGATCCAGATACATCCAGCTGACGCGTCCAAAATAGGATGAAACGCGTGTCCTGGATCATAATACTAGCCATCATCCATCTCTGCTTAAAGAAAACCTCATGGTTTGTTTGCTGATGAAAAACGATGGCTATGGAAATAGGATATTCTGATATATATCTATACAGTGTAGAAACTTTTCTACGTGAAATTGACAGAAACATTAGAAAAATAACAAAAAACAGGTGATGGGTGCTAAGCACCTATTGGATTGCATATAATCTTGGTTAACATTAATGCATGAAATTTGAACTGAATATTACAGGTACTGTAGTGCTACCATAGATTTGAACTGGATGAAAAAAATCCAAATGATTACCAGATATAGTTAATATTGGCATCTCAGTAGTACTTCTTAACTGTATGTTCACACTATTGATACCTTACTGCATAAAAATATCCAAGTGAATTAGATCAAACATAATTAGTTATAAGTGATAAAGGTTCTTAATGAATTGAACTACGTTATGAGTGACCTTTATTCTCCTTCACAGATTTTTCAAGGACTAAAATATCTCCATAAATACTCCAAATTTTAGGTTTAAAAATACCTTATTCTTAGGTTAAATGTTTATTCGAAAGGTATACTTGTTATGGAATTTTGAGAAACCAAAAAATACCGGTTTAATTCAAGATAAACATCACCTTACAAATAAAACAAAACCGTATAATCAACTCAATAAATTATTGCAAACAGTTGAAAAAGTTAAGACGTCATTTAAAATATCTGTTCGAAGAGCAGAAAAAATCCTAAAATCAACCGTTTCACACAGAATACACACAAAATACTCTAAAAAATGAACATATTTATTAAATGAACTCAACTAATTAGTTACTGTAGGTTTCGAATACGGAATATCATTCAATAACTAAAAATTTTATAATTTGTAGACCAAAAAGACAAACAACAAGACAACATGGATACAAGTGTAAAATGCTCAAGGAACAGCATAGATCAAGATGGAGAAAAACTTTTCACTATTGGGATTACAGAAAAACACACAGAGTACGCGAAAGTGGAAACAGATTTTAACGACATTACCAAACAAAACGAACACACGGAGACTGATCATCAAAAAGTGAAAAACGAGAGTGACGAGACAACAAATAATCCGACAGGAAAACTAGAAAAAGATGAACCTCAACAGAAGCAACAATATGAGATAACAAAAGAAAAGAAAACAAAAACAATGGAAGAAAATAATGGATGCGAAGAGTCCGAAAAATTAGTAAGGTACCATGAAAATAAACAGTCAAAAAGTGAAAATACAAATAGCGAGTTACACGAGACGAGTAATCAGGATCTCCAAAATCAAAACAAAACTCCCACTGAACTCAGAGAAAAAATTGGTGAAGTGGATAGTTCACAAAAATTCGACGCTCCTTTGGTCGCCTGTATGAATGCGTCGAAGGCACACTTAGATCCAATGACTGATCAACCACCTGTTGTCGAGTTGTCACAAACATCAGATAATCTGACTGACCACATTGACACAGAGCATCTAAACAACCAACTCCACACCTCTCCTGACAACACAAATCCCACTGATCTCAACAACGAAATCAATGAAGTGGACAGTGCACCGAACTCCGAGTCGACAATTGTTCCGAGTCACATATCTCCATTGTTAGGACACACCTCGGAAACCAGTATCACTACAATTCGCAGTGACACGATGACTGAAGGTCGTTCTGACGAGAATCACGAACTATCTGAGAATAGTCATCAGGACCTCCAAAATCAAAACAAAACTCCCACTGAACTCAGAGAAAAAATTGGTGAAGTGGATAGTTCACAAAAATTCGACGCTCCTTTGGTCGCCTGTATGAATGCGTCGAAGGCACACTTAGATCCAATGACTGATCAACCACCTGTTGTCGAGTTGTCACAAACATCAGATAATCTGACTGACCACATTGACACAGAGCATCTAAACAACCAACTCCACACCTCTCCTGACAACACAAATCCCACTGATCTCAACAACGAAATCAATGAAGTGGACAGTGCACCGAACTCCGAGTCGACAATTGTTCCGAGTCACATATCTCCATTGTTAGGACACACCTCGGAAACCAGTATCACTACAATTCGCAGTGACACGATGACTGAAGGTCGTTCTGACGAGAATCACGAACTATCTGAGAATAGTCATCAGGACCTCCAAAATCAAAACAAAACTCCCACTGAACTCAGAGAAAAAATTGGTGAAGTGGATAGTTCACAAAAATTCGACGCTCCTTTGGTCGCCTGTATGAATGCGTCGAAGGCACACTTAGATCCAATGACTGATCAACCACCTGTTGTCGAGTTGTCACAAACATCAGATAATCTGACTGACCACATTGACACAGAGCATCTAAACAACCAACTCCACACCTCTCCTGACAACACAAATCCCACTGATCTCAACAACGAAATCAATGAAGTGGACAGTGCACCGAACTCCGAGTCGACAATTGTTCCGAGTCACATATCTCCATTGTTAGGACACACCTCGGAAACCAGTATCACTACAATTCGCAGTGACACGATGACTGAAGGTCGTTCTGACGAGAATCACGAACTATCTGAGAATAGTCATCAGGACCTCCAAAATCAAAACAAAACTCCCACTGAACTCAGAGAAAAAATTGGTGAAGTGGATAGTTCACAAAAATTCGACGCTCCTTTGGTCGCCTGTATGAATGCGTCGAAGGCACACTTAGATCCAATGACTGATCAACCACCTGTTGTCGAGTTGTCACAAACATCAGATAATCTGACTGACCACATTGACACAGAGCATCTAAACAACCAACTCCACACCTCTCCTGACAACACAAATCCCACTGATCTCAACAACGAAATCAATGAAGTGGACAGTGCACCGAACTCCGAGTCGACAATTGTTCCGAGTCACATATCTCCATTGTTAGGACACACCTCGGAAACCAGTATCACTACAATTCGCAGTGACACGATGACTGAAGGTCGTTCTGACGAGAATCACGAACTATCTGAGAATAGTCATCAGGACCTCCAAAATCAAAACAAAACTCCCACTGAACTCAGAGAAAAAATTGGTGAAGTGGATAGTTCACAAAAATTCGACGCTCCTTTGGTCGCCTGTATGAATGCGTCGAAGGCACACTTAGATCCAATGACTGATCAACCACCTGTTGTCGAGTTGTCACAAACATCAGATAATCTGACTGACCACATTGACACAGAGCATCTAAACAACCAACTCCACACCTCTCCTGACAACACAAATCCCACTGATCTCAACAACGAAATCAATGAAGTGGACAGTGCACCGAACTCCGAGTCGACAATTGTTCCGAGTCACACATCTCCGTTGTTAGGAACTACCTCAGACATGTTAAACAGTTTATTACCTGATACTAATACCTCGTACGTTGGTCTTTCCGCCATTCTAGGTAACGAAAATAATGTGGCTGTTTTACCTGATATGGCTATATCGGGATCTGATTCTACATCCATTGTTCTTGCTGATGCAGGATATTCCGAAAATATATCGTCAAATGGTAATTCGATTTTGTCTGAGGATTTTTCGAAAACTGTTACTTCACCGACAAATGAAGAAACTACATCTCGTGCTCCTTCAGTGATCAATTCACCACTCTCCATTCAAAAGTCCCTAGAAAGTATAAAAGTTCATTCGCGTTTGAAACCGTCGTCTTATACGAACACCACAATTCAGAAGAACAAATCTTTACCGCCAAGCCCTAAACTATTACAAAAACCAACAGTTAAACAATACATAAGTGGTTCACAAAGGTCACCTACAATGACTGGACCGAATTTTGGACAGACAAATATTTTAACGAATACTAAAACAAAGTATGCAAGTTCAACAAGTGCGAATGCATCACCTAATCTTATCAGAAAACCATTATCTTCCTTGTCAAAGAACACTGATAGTAAAAAGTAGAACAATTTTATTTTTAGTATGTCACAAAAAGAAACAATGAGAAGAAAAAGTAATTTTTCCACATTATTTTCATTACGATCATTATTTTACTTAAAGTTTTTACTTTTAATTATAATACATAACGTAGAGTGATTGTTCTTAACCGCTTTATTATAAGATATTATGAGGTTTTATTCAGTATATATATATATATATATATATATATATATATATATATATATATATATATATATATAATGAGCCTTCTCTTATAACAACATTGATATTCATATTTTAATGTATGTTTTTGGTGTTTCCTTCATTTACTAATGACAACAATAATAATCATAAAAAGAAAGTTAAGACGTTGAAATGAAATTAATGCATGGTGTTAAAACAACAATATTACTATCACTTGAGCATAAATAACTAAATTCACCCATTTACTAGCTACTTGTGTATAAGCCACACTATATGTGTGGGGGCTAATGATATTGCTCGGTTGCCGAATCTGAAATAGGTGTAGCGGGATTTCAACCTAGAAATCGGTGCCTGAAAGTCGAACAGCTTAACTTTATTTGACGGGGCGAGATACACACAAATAGCATACAACTCTATTTGAAAATAGTACGCAAAAACAGTGTGATGCAATGTCCCATTGCCCTTATCAGAACATACAACAGGTTAGGTCACCATCACTTAAAAAAACATAAACCATCAGTTAGACAGAGTGAATGGAAGTGATAACTTAGTCGCCTGTTTTGACGAATTCGATTATTTAACCACATAAGTTTCCGGACACGAGAAATTTGTGTCATACACTGAGTAGTTCTAAATGAAAGATTAAACTGACCGATAAAAATAAACGAGCAAATAGTAGTTTAAATGAAAAACGACTTCCAATTAAATCATATAAATGAAGATATAGATCAAAATTTTAAGCAACTGGACACTAAAAACTAAGATCACTAGGTTAATACAAGACTCACAGTATTCCTTTTAATGCATAAATCAGGTTTATATCTTGTAATAGAGATACCTTTAACAAAGCTGAGTTTGGACGTACTTGCTTAATGATTAATTTGAATGATTTTTGAACGTCAGGTAAGTGACCACTGAATACACAAGAAACATTTAGTTTGAAATTGTAAAGAATAGGTTTAAAAATGAAGATAATAAGCCTTGCACTTGTTTTTCCATGTACATGCTTTGAGACCTTTATATTAACGGGTATAGGACAAGTTGTTGTCACATGATGTTACTTATGATTGTGATAGAAAAGAGAAAATATGCACTTGGGCTTAAATTCCGAATATTTTATTAAATTCCTGTGTTCACTCATTTATAGCCTAAACAAATAATTTATTTTCCAGTTTATTTGTTACTCAATTTCATATTGCAATAATATTGATCAATGTCACTATACATTTGCTTTTAAATTAGTTTGACTAAAATTTTATTTCATTAAGTTAGTTCTCAAAACTCTTGTATATAAATTCCTTTTAAATACATTTGACCATTAGAAACGAGGATTTTCAGAACCACATTTACTTCTTAACAACAATACCCAAATGAATAAAGTTAAAATTAAAAAAAGGTGAAATGATCAAATTTTTTATTAGGATAATTTATGAAATGTAGATAAGTTTTCCTGGGAGAAACAACGCCATGATCAAGTGAAAAGTGGATTTTCGGACAAACCATCATTAACATTAAAAAATACGCGCGAAAACACACTTGAGTTCCTAAAAATCACAATCTTAGTGGCTCATTTTCGATGAGGCACATAGCTGCCACAACATTTTCCACCCAACGAAAGCAATGAAAAATTTATTTTTCAGTGTTTCTCTTGTTAACTGTAGGAGAATTGAAGCCAGAAAATAGTACAGAATTGTACAATTATCGCAGTTATTGAATCATTCATTTGAATAGCGCAGTGTAGCCGCCTACTACTCAACACATTTGTTTCATGTGTTACTTACGTCATAATTCTACCAAAATCCAATCCATTCCACCTCATTTTTAAATATGAATAGTTTTACTGGCGGAACCTCAGATGATTTTAACGGTACAAATTATACAGCATTAAGATAAGGATGTACCCTAAGTGCATACAGTCATCTGATGACAAAACTCTAGAGAAGATAGTTACACAATTACCATGATGTACGGTGTAACTCAATGTAGTTTATCTAAGAAGACATTAAGCAGACAGACAGTTCTACTACTGTATAAAAATGTATCATATTTGTAACAGATTCTTATCTGTAACTGTACCCTAGTACAATGACTAAGTTCAAAGGTAAACCGCATTGTGACAATGCCATAAAGCTCAATGAGATTATATAATAATTTATATATATCCTCACTGAGAATTAGAAGTAGAGTCTGTGGTAAAACCGTTGGATCAAATCATAAGAATTAGGAAGTACCGAGGCAAGTTAATACGTACTCACACTGTATAACTAGACACCTAATAACTGCGGTTTAGATTGCATAGATGAGTCTCACAGAGGACCATCGATAGTGATTCGCAAAGCTTCTATTTAGAATATACGACTTCAATCTTGAGCATGCTAAACTAAATTATTCTACATTCACTAAAAAACTTTTTGCACACTTCCTATGCTGCTTGCAATTATGGAAATCTGAGTCTGTGAACTAATATCACAAGTATTACCCCTCTTAAAATAAAAACGATAGTACAACTAACTGTTCGGTTAAACGTTGGAGAGTTTCGGGAATAAGCCTTCCTGTTTCAGATTCACCGTGACTGAGTAACCATGAATTTAGACCGTATCCATGCACACGCTTTGTGAACAGCTTACAACTTATCGTGATGGTAAACATTAGAAAATTCAAACGTAAACACTACAGTTCACGATATGTTTTCCTCCTAGTCTATCTTTTGAAGAAACAATAGGGGGTTAGACTAGGATTCATGCATCCAATATATAGTGAATGAGAAAAATAGATGTAGTTAAAACTGGGCTTGTATTAAATCTCTTTAATCTATTTAGGAAAAGTGTGAGTCAGTCACCTACAACGTAGGACCAGGCACATATATGCACCGGTCCAGGTTGCCATACCGCATTAGCACAGCAAGATGAACACCGGATTCATAGGAGTGGTTAGGTCAAAGGTGGTAATATATAGGAGAAAGATTGCATATAAGGATACAGTACAGGAAGAAAGAATTAGTTAGTAGAAAGAAAGATATGAAGTGATTTAATCTCTTAGTTTAAGGAAAGACAGGGAGTGTATACACCACACCCACGCCATTGTGATCGATTCTGAGCCATGTCACCAAGAGTCTCCAACCATTGGTTACGATAGTCATGCGGACCCCAACCAAGTAGTCTGCATCTACCAACATGGCTCAGACTAGAAGTTAGTGACTTCAAGCACTGATGCCACGTTTTGGTTTGGCCGCCCCTAACTTTTTTCCAACCATCTCCAATGCCGGATAGCATTGCACGTCGTGGTAATCGGTGTTCAGGCATACGTAACACGTGGCCCAACCATCTCAGTCAATGAAGATTCATAACCTCATCAACTGATTTACCATCATTCCTTAATACCCTGCGTCTAACCTCACTATTACTTAGCCGGTGATCCCAGCAATATTTCTAAGGCATCTGTGGTCAAATACTAGTAGCTTACGGGTGTCTTCTACTCTTAAAGGCCATGTTTCGCTGCCGTAAATTAAAACAGAACGGACTGCCGCGCAGTATACTCGTCCTTTCATTGATAGACGGATATCTCGCCTTCGCCAAAGATGACGTAAGTTGGCAAAAGCCAAACGAGCTTTTCGAATCCGTGCTGAGATTTCGTCCGATACCAACCCATTAGGGCTGATCAGACTTCGAAAATAAGTGAAGTTGTCGACGCGTTCGACTACTTCATTCCCTATCCTTAGTTCAGGTGTTGACGCGGGCCAGTCCTGAAGCAACAACTTGCATTTGGAGGGAGAGAAGCGCATTCCAAACATTCTGGCATTGTTGCTTAGTGCTGTGGTCTAGTGGTTAGGACATTGCGTTGTGGAAAAGTGTAAACAACTATATGGCTCTAATACATATGTCGTTAACTGACTTACAGTAAGCATCTATGATAACCACTAACAACTTACAATTTCAGTATTAATTAATTTATTAATCATAAGAAATATAGTACTTTCGAGTAGAAATCACTGAAAGATAACAGCGTATTATTTGATATTTTTGTATAGTGGACACCAGTGGGATCCAAGATGCATTATTAAGTCTATTCGGAACTCAAACCCAGAACAAATGAAAGAAATATATATAATAAACTTGTACCTACAGGCATTCGCTCAAAAAATTCACCATCTAATAGACTGAATAAGCTAAGTCTGAAATATCAAACAACGGAAAAACACAAATTCTCACTAATTGCAATAAATGTATGTTTTTATTCAATCGTTTCAAGGTAACATTAAAGTGAACTAAAATGTTTATGCTAAAATTGATTCTCGGTGGACAAGAGGAATAGGTAGATTTGGCTTTGTATCAAAGAACATTAAAATGTTTGTTAAACATTTTAGTAAAATTGAATCAAACAGAAAAGTAAAAGAAAGAACAAAAGTGAAAGAAAATTTACAATACTTATTGAGTATACAATCTACCGATAATAAGGCGGTTTGGCAACATGAATACCCCTATCATTCAATGAAGCAATTAAATCTTCCAGTGTAAGAGTGGCGCGACGATCTGTGGGAAATTTATTGGTCCCAGGTTTTCCACCTAGAAAACAACATATTATAGAGATCATAGGAATTGACACAAAGTGTAATAGGATGATTTTAACACTAAGAACGAAATTCGATATAGTTGATTTAAATAACTGATCGAAAATTGTTTTAACTTTTGAAATTAAATCAGTGAAACCAAAGGTACGATTAGATACATTTATATGAATTAAAAATTACAAACGAGATAAAGAACTATAACATTATTATCGCTTAGCTCGTAGGATTATTCTGTGGAGATCTAAGTTACTCGTTTTTTTCTAATTATTATTATTTGAACATATAGACATTGATACAAAGAGGCACCAAATAAA